TCCCCTCTGCAATGGACGGACTCCTCCCTCTGTGTCTCCGCCGTTAGAAGCTTTTTTATCTTGGATGCAGCTACGATGATATTTTACCCAGAAAATGCCCCCCTCCTCCCCCACACCATTACAACAATTCAGTTCTTCCCTTGGAACTTTTCTTTATTTCTTCCATTCATTACCTATATTAAGTTTTTTGGTCCATGGCATCCGAGAGAATTTATTATGTGGTTGTTTTTTTGATGGACTTTATTTGACCAAATTACTTCCTCACACATGACGACGACGATATGAATGAATGTTTTTTTTTCATTATTCTTCCCGTTTTCCGGGTCAAGGGAAACACCACACATTTCCCCACTAAGGGTTGTTGTTTTTTTCTGAAACCTCAGATTGAAAAATCAGCAGGCAGATTCATCATTTTGTTAGCATTAAAAGTGTCTTTTCTTTCTCTTGTCGCACTGCGACTGTGGTGAGTATTGAACCCGGGACCTCCGTGTCATCAAGCAAGTGCGCTATCGACTGTGCTATGAGGCCACTGAAGTGTAGAGCTTTGAATCCTCTGAACCCTCTGAACATTGCAAATCATTGACACTTTGCGCGATGTGACAAATTGACAGATTGCAGAAGGTCAGCTGAAATGTCTTGAAAAAAGCCAATAATCCAAATTAACTGCAAAATGATTTCATAATGAAAACAGTCAGATATTGGATGATGTCTGTGTTCTTTTCTCAAGTTTGAAATTGCGCCAATTGTTGCTCAACAAAACACCTCCACACATTTTGTTAAACGTATGATTGAAAGAGATAGAGAGAGAGAGAGAGAGAGAGGGGAAGAGAGAGAGGGAGAGGGAGAGAGCTTGTCCGGCTAACAAGGAGAGACATTTCAGAGAGCAATTCAAGGAATGCGCCATGCCGAATCGTATACACCTTGTAATTATTAATTGATCGCGACTCACAAGCAATTTGTACGTCTTTGGCATCACCCCGAATACTGTTGTTGGCCTGGGTGAACTGTCGATGGAGGCCTTTTTTTTAGGCAATTATCTTTTAGCAATGGTCCAGAACGCGCGGGTGAGAAGACGAAAATGGATCACAAAAGGTCTGCGCACGCAAAGAACAATACGTCGTGACTCGAGTTGCCCATTCTGCCATTCTGCGCTTGAGATCATTAAGGGCACACAAGTGCTGAGGAAATAGCGCGCAGCTGAGATGATTTTACCAGTAACCAGACTGGTAATTTAGTAGTCATCGTGCTTTGGGTTGGCTTTTCAATCACAGTGATTCAGTGAGAGTGATGAGGACGATGTCATGAATTGAAGTCAATAGCAGCCAATCAATCAATATTGCTCGTGCGGCGATTTCTTCAACAATGCCAACAATTCCGGACATCCGTCATGAATGGCCGAATTCTCTATATATAGACCATTCTTTTTGCCAATTGATTTTTTTCTTGCCTTTCTGCAATTTGCCAGACATTCTGAGGAATTTGGTCACACACAAACATAAGTTTTGTGCGCTTCTCCGAAGCAATTTGCGTCGCATGCAAATTGTCCATAAATAAGGTCGTTTCCCTTCGCGTACAATCTTGATTTTTATTCTCCACCACGGAAGGCAACATGGATAAAAGCACAGGTGAATCCTGGAGGTGCATTTTGAACGTATGCTTTTCCCGGACTCGTTGCAAGAAATTCAGCAAGTGGTGGAAAATGTAAGGCATTGAATCGCGTTTTGGCTACATCGCCCGTTGTTTTTTTTGATTTGATTTAATGCATTCCAATAATTATTTTAAATTTGAAGTAAATTCAAAGGTTATTCTCCTCTTTCTGTTATAGTTAATTTATGACAAAGAGAAATGCGTAAAACCATTTATTCTGTGTGGAAAAACTCTGAATTTAAGCTACTTTTGTTCGTTTTGCGAACAAAATTTTTTAAATTTGTTATTTAACTAGACTTTTCAGTGCTTCTTTGGTTGTTACAATTTAAGTGTTTTTTGAGAAAAAAAATAAGCAATTGCAACTTGCCGATTTTAAATTTTTTTCTAATATATATATATATATATATATATGAACACGACGATTACCATTCAATTGAAGCATATCGCTAGTGCTTTCGCCTCGGTGCCGTTTTATTTTGCAAATATGTGTTATAATATTTAAGATAGAGAGCTTTGTGAGCGGGAAAAAATATTAGCAACGGTTGCGATGAGCTTTCACAGTCACGCGAAGGAATAATAAGTAATTATCATAAGAATAGAGAGAGAGAGAATGATTGTCTCCACTCTTCCAACATGGTTGGCAGGCGCTCTGGGGTGTTTTTTTCGTGACCAAGACACCCGAAAATTCACCCTCGCGCGAAAGCGCTATAAAAGGATCGCGGCTTGAGCGGACGGACTCTCAGTGTTGGCGGTGTTGCTCGGGGATGCAGACAGTGTTGTCGAGTCGGTGGCGTTCGTGAGGAAGTGTTGTCCTAAGAACTCCTTGAGCAGACCATGAAGACGGGCACGGTACGAAACAGCTCTCCTCTGGGTTTCCTCAAGACGTCGCCGAGGCACAATTCTGGCTACAAATCCTCTAAGATCCTCTCGAGTTTGGGCATCCTGGACAAGGATAGTGTCTCTGGCAAGAGTCGCCGCAGCAAATCGAGGCAAGTTTTTACCATCCATAGCAGACAAAGGACTTTTTGGTGACCCAAATTCGATGGTGAACGCAAAAGAAAATCTGTGTGATCAATAACTCAGCATAAATATTTAGAATTTTCTTGCTATTACATTTTATTATGTATGTCGTGAGGTTAAGAAAATAGGAGACACGATATGATGGCAAACAAAGTGATTTCTATATTGGGAATCATAATAAAAATGGATTAATTAAAAATAATACCTTTTTTTCATATTACGCGATACAAAAAGCGTGGCTCAAAGTGCTCTTCATCGATTTAATATAAAACATTTTCGGGAGAATGTATTTGCAAGGAGCGCAAAAACTGTTTAACTTTTCCTGACATGCAAAGAGTTTTCTTTGGCATTTTTCGGATGAAGTTGATAAGCAAATTCAGCCCATCAAATTTTGCGCTGTGGTGGAATTGATTAGAAGGGAATTTTTGGGCTGTAATGAATGCGTTTGTTTTCTATATTGAACATTGAAAGTTTCAAGGTAAAGTATTTGCATAAAATTCCGATGGTATATCGATTTGCACAGAAGCCGGCATTATTCTTCTGACGAAGTGCATTTCAACGAAAAAGAATTTGCATATATTGGAATATGTATAAAGGATTTACAAGTGTCCTTTTCAACGAGGAAAATGACAGAATAGAATCAGAGTTATGACGGAAAAACGGATTCCTTTTACATGAATTCCGCTCTTAAATATAATCTAATAGTATAGTTTAACTTATAAGGAAAAGCCAGACTGACTTAAGTATCAAAAAAGTATTAGTAAACTAATACTTGACTAATAAGCTAAGCAAAACATCTGCTTTTAATGTCCTTTTCTATTTGATAAATCAAAATAGAATAGTTTTTTCAGGAATAAAATTTTACCTATAATGTTTTTTTTATTAAAAAAGGAATTATTGAAGAAGTGAGTGAAAGCAGTCGGTAAATAACGGAGATATAGGCCGGTAAAGGTGTGAACTTTGACCCTCCATATCTCTGATCCTATAATTTCAATTCTCATATGTAATGGTTCCTTGGAAAGGTCATGACCTCACCTATAACATACAAAAATTGAAAGAAAATGCACCATCATGTTTTTGAGTTATACAACTTAAAATTTTTGAACATGGTTTTATCGACTTTAGCACCCCTGGCGGCGGTTGTATCACGTTTTGATGTTCAGGTGGGAGATGGCATTTTAGGAGACCTTTCCAATGAATACAATATCATTGCGATCGGTTAATTAGAAGCGGAGTTATAGCCGTTTTAAATTTTGAAATTTGGCCCCTAATATCTAGGGTCTGGAAGGTCCTAGGTCCTTAAGTGGTGGTTCGTTGGAAAGGTCTTGAGGTCAGCTATAACATACTCAAATTTGAGGCCGATTCATGCCATAGGGGCTGAAAAATTGAGGAATGTATATTTTGGGGGTGGTAAAAATGGCGGACGGAGGGGTGGGGGTTGGATTTGACATCACCAAGTTTTAGCGGTAGTAGAACTTTTAACCTTTGGTGAAAACCGCATATCGATATCTCTTACCGTTTAGGCGCTACGAGTCGAAATACTACGGACGAACGGACGGACGGACGGGCGGACGGGCAGGCGGACGGGCGGACGGGCGGGCGGACGAGCAGGCGGACGGGCGGACGGGCGGATGGACGGGCGAAAGCATATTGGATAATTTTGTTCAATCAAACATAATAAGAATTTTTCAACTTATTTAACAGTAATTATCTCACATTTTCCCATATAAAATTCAAATCAAACTTGCGAATTTTCCGTTATCACGCAGGCGACACAATTTCAGAGAAGCTCGACTTTACCATGGTTATTTAACATGTTGTAAAATTACTAAATTTCTTTGGCGGTCTCTTTCTAATAGACTATAAATAGACCAACTGTCCCCTAATTGTACTTGTCTTTGCAATTTTCTGAAATTCTATTTCCGCCTACAAATTTATAATCAATTTGACGACTTGATAGTCTGCTATATATCGTGAATATCAGTCAAGTGCTAAATGCGAATCATGCGCCAAATCGATCTGGCCAAAAGGAGTCATTTAGTTGAATGACACTCGCGATCTGAGAGGCAATTAAGCGCGGCGTCTTCGGGTGTTCGCCTCGGTGATCCGATGCGAGGTGCACTGGAGCGTGACTCCCTTGATTCCTGGCACAGACCTAAGAATTCCCTGGGCTTTCTCTGTGTGTCACTCCATTGCATGAGCCCTAAATTTGCATTTCCATGACAACAAACGTCGAAGTTTACGAGGCAATGCGTTGCTTGTGCCTGGGCAATCCTTATAGTGTCTCTCGGTAATTTATGTGATTCGGATCACAACAATAGAAGTGTATTTTATTCAGCAAATTGCAGATGAGCGAAAGTGAAAAGTAGAGGAGGATTTGAAAGTGTTGGGGATTTGGTTGTGGTTTCTATGAGTTCTCTCTTTCTTTTCTGTTCTGCATAGGAAGGGCGGCTTCTCGCCCAAAATGAGCGATTCCTACAAGAAGAGGAGTGTTGATTTCACGGATTTCGCCTACAGGGAGGCCGTGAACAGGCTCAAGTATCTCCTGGCTGAATCCTACACGCCCAGCAAGATGCACTATCACCGCGACGACGACACCAGCTTCCAGTCTGCAGAGCGACCGGTGCTGACGGAGATCTCCAAGTATCTGCCGCCGTCCAGTGCGCTGGCGTACAACACGCGGCGACTGGACTTTCCGGGTGGCGCCAAAGAGAACTTTCCGCTGGGCCTGAAGCCGGCATACTCGACAAGTAGCCTTCAGCAGTCGGAAATAGCCCAATTCGCTGACGTCAATCCGCCCCCGCCTCAAGAGCTGATGAATTTCATCGAGCGCCAAGAGCACTACATCGAGCAGCTGGAGAAGGAGTCACAGTTCTGTCGCGAGGAGTTGGCCAATTTGCTGTCCAAAGTGAAGAATGTCATCACGGAGAACGAGTCGTTGACGGATCAGGCCAAGGTGGGACTCACGAGGAACTTCTTCAGCAGCCTGGACTCTTCCGAGAGCGAGGAGAACGAACATGGGGACACCAAGAGTCTGCCGATGAAGTACAAAAACACCTCAATGGGGCCCAACATTGTCTTCGAGTCGCGAATCAGTGAACTAGAGGCGCAACTGGCTCAAGCGGCAATTGACTTTAGGCGGCTCAATGAGGAGAATGACTGCAACAAGAGGAAGATTGCCATGGGAGCCGGCGATGGTGGTTCTGCTGAGATCTACAGGAAGCAGATCGATAATTTGCAGAAGTAAGTCTCATGAATTAATCTCTTAAGAGCGGCTGTGGCTCAGTGGTTAACGCGCTTGACTCTCGAAGCTACAGTTGTGTGTTCAAATCCCGCCAAATTGTAAATATTTCGAACACTGCAAAGTGGAAAAAATAAGCCTTTCAACAGTAAATTAAAGCAACTCAAGTGGGATTGTTGTTGAATGTTCCAGTTGAAACATATGCTTCACTGGAATTGTCTTACACACAGTTGCTGTATATATAAAGGTGGACGTTTAGGACTGCTTATGGGGTTGTGTCGGCAAGCTGTGACAATCTGCTACCGTGTAAAAAAAAATATCTTATAGGATATTCTCTATTAATGGAGAAGGCTGTGTCGCCTCAATGGGAATAATTAATTAACCTCTTTAACGTTAGAAAATTGTACAGTGCGAAATGAACCCAAACACATCATCACCTATTTGAAATTCCGAATGAAAAAAATAATAAATCTCTTAATTGTCATATTGCAATTGAATTTCGTCAATGTTTCATGACTTTATATGTTAAGAAGCTTTAGTGAATGAAAATTGTGTTGCCCCGAGATGAACAATACAATAAACACACCGGGTCCTGCGTGTGACTTACTACTACTGACCCACGGTGTAAAATAATCCAGTTACGCGCTCCTTATTAATAACAACACCAGCAGCCGTCATCTTGGCTCTCCTTAGCTGACTGATTAACAGCCATTAATCCAGCAAGGGAGGGGGAGGGAGGGAGGAGGGGAGGCCCAACGCGCTCTGGTGCCAAACTATGTTGTATTTGGCCGCGCCTTATCGATTGATCGATCAGTCTTCTGCCAACCAACCAACAGGGAGGGGAGGGTGTGATCCAACTGTAAATCATCACTACAAAGTGAAATTAATTTCTATGTTGGGGCCGCCATATATGATAGATACAAATGCCCCCGTAGCTTTTATAGTGATAAAAAGGAAAAATCTATCGTGTGCTTTTCCACGCCGATTTATGTAAATGTATATTTCAAAATTTCATGAAAATTTCCACAAATATATTTAAAAAGGCGCCCTATCCTGCTTAATTCCAGGGATAAAGCGTCTTTGGAGGATTCGTTGAGGAAGTTCCAAGTGCAGATCAAGGAATTGAGGGAGCAGGATTCCTTCTCGAAGGCGCAACGAGCACGAGACTTGACAGATCAGGTGGTGTTCGAGAGGACGCAAGCGGACATTGAGATCCGGCGTCTCAAGGATGAGCTGGAGCGGCAGCACGAGCGCGTGCGGGAGATTCAGAGTGAGATGGCGCGGCGCATCTCAGATGAGCGCACCAATGCCGAGCGTCGCTACAATTACCAGGTGGATCAGCTCGGTGGGGATTTGACGTGTCAGTGGGAGCAGGCGTCCAAGTTGCAGCTGGAGTTGGAGCGCCAGAAGCGCCTGGAGGTCGATCAGAAGCGCGACTTGATGCAGAAAGTGGCGCAAATTGAGGAGCTCCGTGCGGAGATCAAGAGCAAGACGGCTGCCTGGCTGTCGGACGTGGCGCAGATGAATGCGGAGAAGCAGAGTTTGGAGCAGGAGATCACGTCCGTGAGGATGCAGTTGGAGCGCGCGGAGAGGCAAGGAAAGGTGGAGTCGTCGCGCCTCAATGCGGAAGTGAATTCGCTGCGGCAGCGCCTCGATCGATCGGACGGCGACCTCTTGCACGCCCGGCGTGAGAATCTCCGACTGTGCGACCAAATTTCGGCACTGGAGAAGGAGGTTAGCAGCAGCCAAGTGGTTTCTGCGGCATTTCTGCGAATCTCTCTGACTCGCTTTTCTCTTGCACCCTTTGCAGATTACACTCGGAGAAATTGGACGCGAGCCACGGCCCAAGGAGATGACGAAAATCATCACGGACATGGAAGCAAAGCACGGTATGTTGGTTCATACTTCCATTGATGGTTGTCCTTTTTCCCCGCGGAAAAGTGGTTGACATTCAATTGACAGCACTCAGAGAAAATATTGAAATCTTCCCCAATCGAAAACTGATTACGCAGAGCGGCATTCGTAGACAGACTTCGGGATTTGCTGTAGTTTTCTGCCGAAATTGACATAATCAATGGTCTGCCCACTTGCATGCTTTCCTCTGCTTTATGTGTGTCACGCTGAGAAAACTGTATGACAATAATTGGCAGGAATTTCTACCCTTTCACCCTTATTAGAGTAAGTTTTCCGAGAGAGCATATTTTATTAGGACACACGAACGATTTTACATGATTATTGGATTAAATATAAGATAATCGTATGCGATTTTCTACGAAGATTTACATTGACTTAAGGATAATAATCCTGATTTTAAAATCCAGGTTGTATTTATATAAATTATTGGAAACTTAATTTAGGCTTAATACATTCCATTCAAGCTTAATAGCTATATAAGTTATATTAGGATTCTTTGGGATTCCTTGGGATTCTTGAGATTCATTAGGATTCCTTTGGATTAAAGATTAAAATATGGTTGGTCGAGTTGGCGCCGCCCAGCTGGCCATAAGCGTTCGCGAGAATTTGATCACTAATATGTATAGTTCATATTTTATGCCACAACACATTGACTTAAACGGGTTTTCCATGTTGAATCTTCACTATCAGTCCAGCTTTCAGTGCAAATTTCACACGAGCTTACACTCGAGCTTTCACTCCAGCTCTCACTTGAGCTTCTGCTTAAGCATTTATTATAGTGGTAATTGTGGTACTCATCTCTGAGTTCTGCACAAGAACTACACTGAAGTGCATCTCTTATTTTGCATTCAACAGAAAATCTACATTTCGAACATGCAAAAATAAAATATCTCATAATATCTGACTCTTCGATGAATTTGTATGAAAAACAAAATTGTAAATTTCTTATATACGAATTAGAACTTGATTTATAGAAAATCATGTTGTAGAAATTCAAACTAAACACATAATCGCAATAATTGACACAATCTTCGCAGTTTGCAATTCGACGTTTGTGACAATTTGGTTTGGTGAATATAAACATTTTCTCGAATCTGTTCAATACATAATCAAAGATAAATTCCTCGTTTAATTTACACTGAAATTTCTTCATGATGGACGTCAAGATATTACCATTTGCCGCTAAAGTCATGGCATTAAGCACTTCGATGAGAACAGCAAAAGCCAACTTATTGAACATTTCTTCGGCAATTAGCATTTCTTCTTTCAAGAAATACAAAATCTGACAGAAATAAATATTTCGCTCAATTGTAAAGTCACATTTTTCTTCGTTGTGTTGCAAAATGAATGGCGAAAAATCGACATTTTGGTCATTTTCACAAATAATCTTGAAAAATTCGAAAGGAATTTTCTCCAGGCCTTCACCTTTTGCATATGAATTTGCGAGTTTTTTCAAATCACAACCGGAATGTGTGATTATTTTTGGGTAATACGTTAAAATTGCATTGAAAAAATTCTCACTTTTAGACGTCCAACAATAGTGGACAAAAGATTTGCCATCAAATGTTTCTTCACGATTCAATTTGATGTCTTGAAATAGTAAAAAGAAACAATCAATATTGGCTTTAAACAGGAAGGAAAATGTTACATGTTCTTCTGTTGCTCTATTCAATTTATCAAAGAAAAACATGATTTTCTCGAAGAAATTCGTGATTTTCTTGTGTTTGTGCAGAATTTTTAATATGTTAACTACAAAGTATCTCACTTCTCGTGCACAATTAAATTCATCAAGAGATTCCATCAAAAAATCCGAACACATGAAAATGAGAAATATGTCAAAATTGGAAAATGCTTGCGAATTTTCCAATACACAATTAATCTTTTCTGCTATTTCTGTGGCAATTGTGCATTGTCGGCTTTTAAACACTGGAAATAACCACTCTTTAGCATCCTTATATTGCTCATCCGGTTTATATTCTTCATCACATTGGCCATCATAGAAGATTTCGTACGGCTTACTGATGAAATCTTCATTTAGCCATGCATAAATTTCGTCAAATCTTTGCTCAGTTCGAAGTCCTCTTGTGAAGAGTAATTCTTGAAAATAAATATGAAAAACAAATTTACTGCAGAACGCAGACTCTTTCAGATTGAAAAGTAAGACATTTGCAACATTTTTACTATACTTTTCCTCCAATAATTTCACCGCGCATTGAATAATATTTTCGTCTACAAAATATCTACTGTTGAAAAAGTATTTCAGAAACATCAGAATTTCTCGCTCGTTGTTAATTTTATTTACGAATAATTTTATGAGATTGTTAATATATTTACAATCAACATAATTATTACTGAAATCTTTTGAGAAACGAACAAAAAAAATATGTAATAGAAAACAGCAATATTTAATGTCGTCAAAAAATTCATTTGACAAATTTTCAAGTTTGTTCAGCACTGAAAATTTCACAAATCTTCGAATAATTGAATGGAAATTGGTGTTCTTTTTGAGAAATATTTGTCCTTTATACTTTTTTTCCTTTAATTTCACCATTTCCACAATGTTTTCCGCCATTACTTCGGCGGCAAAATATTCAGAAAAAGATCGATGAATGAAGAAAAAAAATCCATTTTCATCTCTTTTAAGGAAACCTCGAGCCAAAAGCTCCGTTTCGTTGAACTTTGGCTTTTCACAGTGAATTTCATTGTCTAATTTCAAATCTGTCACAGCAAAATAGAAGTGAATTTGTTTGAATTTCTTCAACTTTTCTGCTTTTTTAGTCATTGCAATATTTGACGTTTCATTGTTAAACTTGTCAAATGTCAAATTACAAATTTCCGTGTACAATTCCCAAATATTATACAATTTTCCATTTTCAATGCTCAATCTTGACTGTTTCAAAAGATCGATGAACATTTTCAAAAGCATCGGAACTTCCAAGTATAAATTGTAGTCTAATTCGTAATTAATTTCCTTAAGGACATCAGGAATTGAGGTGTCGTCAGCATAAGTTTTTTTAATGTATTGTGCAATAAAATTCTCAGTTTGTTCACAACTGAGTTTATCAATTTGAAACCCAATAAAATTGAGTTGTCTTACAGAGTCGAGACAATTTTTTCGCGTTGCCAAAAATATTCTTATTCCCATTTTTTTCATTTCCATAATCAATTTCAGCACAAATTCACTGTAAGTCGGATGAATTTCGTCGAAACCGTCGAAGAAGAAAATCATCGGAACATCTTTTGACTGTTTTAAGTAGAGTTTGAGCAATTTCTTGCACATATTTCGATTTTGATCTTCTTTGCAATCTAAAAGATGATCAAAAAAGAATTTCTCAGTTTTTTCTTTATTTTCACTCCCAACATTGAGGTTGTTTGTGATTTTGTTCAAGAAAATGACACAAATCCAAAAGTGTGGATTTTCGGCCTTTAATCTTTGCGCCAATTCAATCATCGTCGACGTTTTTCCCATTCCAAAGTCACCATAGAGAAGAATATTGTAGGAAAATGTTAGAAAATATTCTTCAACTTCATGTAAAGTTTCAAACTCACTTTCAGCGTCAAATCTCTTATATTGTCTGTGTTTTTCTTTGAGAAAAAATCTGCGAATGTAATATTCTTGTTTCGGTAATTCACTGCCAAAACTCAATTTACCTTTCGAGAGAAATTCTTCGAATAAGTCGACAATGAATTCTTTGGAATCTTGATTTCCTTCTTCAAAAATGATCGATTTGATTTTCAAAAGTTTCACCGAATATCCTTGAATAGAAATGTTTTGGTCAAAAAATGCTTCGATGCACGATTTTTTCAACTCATTAAATTTAGTCTTTCTTATCTTAATCTCACTTTTCATCTCACCGAATTTTGACTTTTCTGCAATCACGTAAACTTTCTTTTCGTAAGCAAGAATTTTTGAATTTATCCTTTGAGTGTCAATGAAAATTACAAGTTTAATTCTCTCCAACTTGAGATAATCGTCGAGCTTTTCTCGCACTTGCGAGAGTGGCACGAGATAAATTTTCGTTTCGGTGGTTTTTAATGCGTGAAAAATCTTCAAAATTGTCAATTTTGCATTTTTTTCACACTCAAATATTCTCTTTCCTTCCAATTTTTCGCGTAAATTATTGAGAATTCCGTCCTTAAATTGTACTGGAAAATCAAATTTAGAGCAAAAAGAAGAACTTTTTGTCATCAATTCGGCTTCTAATTTCGAGTTGTCCACGATTTTGGCAAGATTTTTTGGACATATATATTTTCTTAACGATCTTTTGCTTTTTTGTTTTCTGTGTGTCTCGATATTTTCTGGACTGAATATCTTTATAAAATTTAGAATATTTTCCCTGAGAATTCCGGGTAAGAAAGTTGAATAATTCAGGAAAATTTCATTGCATAATTTGTCATTTGTCATCTTCAAATCATCCGGCAAATTTGATAAAATAATTGTTTTTCTCAACAATTCATTGAAATCTTCCGGAACATTTAGGCGATCGCGGTATTTTGAAATTTCAGTTTTATCTTCCTTGAGAACATTGAAAACATAAGTGATATATTCATCAACATCTTCGTGAATTTTGGCTTTGTTTTGCCTTTCTGTGTTTGATTCGATTATTTGATTATTCATCGCTAGTATAAAACGTGTTTCGTATCCTTCGAAATCTTCTCGAAGTTTGGTCTGAAATTCTGACTTTGAAAATGCGTCGACGAATTGCTGGAAATTCAATCTGTCCCATAATTTCTTGTTCTTCGCTTTTTCCCTGTTCGGCTGCAGGAAGTTGTCAACAGTCATGAAGTCTTTCGTGTCACTGTGTTTGGCCTGAATGAAGTACACGAATTTACGATCGCGAAAACTAACAATAATGTCGTCGAATTTATCGAATCCCGACACTTCGTATCCGAGTTTAAATTCCGGAAAATTCAGGACGAAAACCTGAAGGCAAATGAAGAGGAAGATTTCCTGCTGGAATTCCATTCCGTGTTCCGAAGTTGGAAATGATTTGTGGCTCGATTTACGGCTTTCCTCAGTTGTTGACACTGTTTCTCCTTTCGTTTCTTCAAGAAACATTTGTTTTTCTGGATTGTTTGCTTGTGACGAAGAAGCGCCTGAAGTTAAAATAATAATTCCAGTAATTAATAAAATTAATCAAGAAATTGTTATTCCTTTTTTACCTGACATTTTTTTACGATCTTGCGACATTTTTCTTGGATTTACTTCTTCTCAGAAATGTATTTGCGCAAGTTCTTATCGATTTTCGGATGTAGAGCGATTTATCAACTTCTTATCGTTGGTTTATTGTCGGATATTTGACTATTCACATTACTGATTAATCAGTGATTTTTCTTCTTATATAAACTTTGTAAATTGGCTAATTTTTTATTGTTCACTTTGCGAAATATTTTAGAATAATTAAATTTGCATTTTTCTCACTTTTTTAAAGAGATTTTTTAATCACACAAAGCTGTAAATCTGTCCAAATATTCCGCACAACTGACTTTCCTCTACGTTTTTCGCCCTTTTATAGATGAGTTTCACACACACAAATGATATCTTATCAGGTTGTCTTCATATCAATCAGTCGCACGCGATTTTATTTGACAATTTTTCGCCGAATTTTACCTGTGATAAATTTGCTAATCAAACAATGGGGCATTTTTTCTTATTCAAAGAATTGTCTGTTAGCGCATTAAAAGAAATTTGCCTTCAAGTGTTTCCTCCTAAGCTTGAACCCTTAATTATACACATCGAACGTATTATCTTCACTCTTTATTACCCATTTATTTTTCGTGATGTATTTGTAAAGAAATTTCACCAGAAGTGCAAGACAAAAAAATGCTTTTAAGCATGCAAGATGCACTTCAAGAGGACATGATAAGCGAACGATTATGGTCAGCTGGGCGCCGCCAAATCGCAATGTGGCCAACTCGAGTAACCTTGTTTTAATCGGACAATTTTCAAACCGCCATAACTCAGGTTCTATGGCAGTGACAAAAAAGTATAACCCCATTTTGGAAACGTCTCAAACTCATCTATTAAAGTATCGAAAAATTGCTTTCAAAATAGAATAACCTTGGAATAAAATTATTGACTTCAAAATTTTAAAAATATTATTATTGACAATAGCGTCTCTGGCGGTGGTCTGATTACATTCTGCTGTTCTAAACAGTCTTAGAGTTCTGCAAGAGCTTTCCAACGAGTCCTAAACCATAATGATCGAATAAATAGAACCGAAGTTATAGCGTATTTGATATGAAAACTTTGAACCGTCATAACTCTAGTTCTATTGCATTCACAAAAAACTATAACCTATTTTTAGAGACGTCTTGACATGGGCTATAACATATTAAAATCTCATTAAATTGCATGAAAGATTTGCCGAGATACAGGCGTTCAAAGTTTTTTTTTATGTGGCGGCATTCGTTATGACGTCATAAACTCTTTGTGTATACAGCCTACTTAAGGACGCCGAGACATATTTTATGGCGAAGAGATGATCAAAATCAGTTGGTAAACAGCGGAGATATGGGCCGGTAAAAGTGTGAACTTTGACCCCCCATATTTCCGCTCCCAAAACATCAAGCCCTACAAGTAGGGTATCGTTGGAAAGGTATTGACCTCAGCTACAACATACTAAAATTTAAAGAAAATTTATACTGGACTTTTCGAGTTGTTTAGTTTGAAATTTTTGAAAATCATTTTTTTTAACTTTTGCGCCTCTAGCGGTGGTCCTACCAAGTTATGTTGTTTAGGTGGGAGATGGCATTTTACGAGACCTTTCCAATGAATACAATATCATTGCGATCGGTTAATTAGAAGCGGAGTTATAGCCGTTTTAAATTTTGAAATTTGGCCCCTAATATCTCGGGTCTGGAAGGTCCTAGGTCCTTAAGTGGTGGTTCGTTGGAAAGGTCTTGAGGTCAGCTATAACATACTCAAATCTGAGGCCGATTCATGCCATAGGGGCTGAAAAATTGAGGAATGTATATTTTGGGGGTGGTAAAAATGGCGGACGGAGGGGTGGGGGGTTGGATTTGACAAAATAATCTTCATTACCACTGTATACTATGAACCTTTGGTGAAAACTGCATGTCGATATCTCTTACCGTTTAGGCTCCACAAGCTCGTTTGTCACGACAGACAGACGGACGGACGGACGGACGGACGGATGGACGGACAGAAGGACGAAAGGACGGTCGGTCGGGCGTAACACGAACAAAGTGCCTCTCGAATTCGTCAAATTTCTTCTTAATATGCCTTCCTTCCAACTTTTTAGGCGATTTTGGGGAAGGGAGGTTGTGAGTGATTACATGTAGAGCTGGGACTTGGAGTTCCAGCTCTAAAATTTTATTTGTATTTTAATATTACCTACAGTTTTCTCAGCTGCTCTTAATTTGTTTCATTCTATTGATTTCTCTGAGTGTTCTTCTTGTGCTTATGATTTCCTTGGCTTTCATCCGCATTGATTTTGGTGATATTTTTGCGGGATGGGCAAAGATATAAAGGACATTGCGATGGGGAAAGCAATATTGAGCGCAATTCTAAGTTTATCCATGAGCTTCTTCTGCTTTTATCCATCCATCCATTTTTAAAAGCCTCTGCCTAGTGCCAAATTATAGTGAAGAAAAAAAAACATGCGATGATTTCCAAAATTAAACAATTTCTCTTTCCGGCCGTGCTTTCCAGCAAACACCGTCTCCGAACTGGAAGGAATGATTCATGATCAGAGACAGCTCATGGAAAAACTGACTTCCGAGTGCAAAAGCTTAACGCAAAAATTAGAGGACACTTCATTGAAACATAAGTAACATTTTCTTTATTTTCTATTACCAATTTTTACTACTCAAGTGACTGGCTTTTTTCCTTCTCTTTGTGTCTTGGATTTTTAGCTTAAGGCAAGGGGGAGATATTGTGATCTGAAGGTGGTGTACAGGAAAGTCTTTAAAAATGATGGTGTGAAAAATATGTATTTATGAAATTTTATTTCCAAATTTTCTTTGTTCATCAATTTCCGCATTTTTTCAAATCTATTTACATATGAAAAAATTCAGTGCTTTTCTAGACTATGGAATTAATTCAAGACATTTATTTTTGGCGTCGATATTCGCAAAACTTTCATTTATTAGCAGAATCATTTGATTAAAAAATAAGAGTTCAAAATGTACTTAAATCGAGGGAGAAATATATCTTTCTGACTCTGTCAAGGGGCCAAAAATGTAACAGATATTTCACATAGTTTTTCGTGAAAGTTTCAGGAAATTTGTGTAAAGATTTTTTGGCACATAATCTCCCCCTTGACGACTGGTATTTTTATTTTTAATCTTCTCTATGTCTTGATTTTTGGCTTTTTTGGTGCATGCGAGAGAATTGTGATGCTGCTTCCTTTGGTCTCTCTAATTCTTGGTTTTTGGTTTGCCTTCTTAGGGCGCGACTGGCGGCCAAAAAGCGTGTCCGATTCTCAGACTTTGAGACCAATCCACCGAATCTCTGGCCCGTTGTTAAGCGCAGAACAACGGCTCGAAGTGCCTGTAGATCAGCCGATTGGATCTCACCGGAGAGACAATGAAGATGACTCTCGGCCCTTGGCATTCAACAGCGGCCAAGGGATTATTGTTCCCAATGGACAAAGCGACGAGCCAATTGCCAAAACGCCCCTTAAGGTTGATGTGAGCATTAAAGTAATACCGAAACCAAAAACCAAGAAGATTCGACCACCAAAAGATTGCGAAGAATGAGTAGTTAGTCACATTTCTTTATCTTTTTCTCTATTTTTTTTCTCTCTCTCTACATTTTAAACATTTATTTGTAACACAAACTGTTTCTGGGTATAGAAATGACACACAGATCTTGAGACAGACTAACAGGGAGCTGATGGAGCGCCTGAGGCAGATCTGGGCGAGTTACAAGGATATGAATCCGCTCTATAGGAACGGAAATGGTCCCACACAGTCTAGTAGTGACTCGGAGGCGCTGAATTATGCGGAGAAGGTAAAAGAGTGGCAAATTCTAAGAGGTGCCCCTTTCTCTTTTATGCTTCCAGGGAGGAGATATCAGCTCTACAAGCAAATGTAGAATATCTAACCACAAGAATAATGACTAAGAATAGCGATTTTGCAAATATCCCAAACACTGATCACGTTGATATTGTCAATCCCACCGAAGAGATCTTTAACGAAGGTATTTCTCTCCGTCATTTCGCGATCACTCTATAGAGATCCACTGCTGAACATCATGATTTCATGGGTTGCCTGGCAAAGACCACAAAGAGACATGGAAGGCAATTTCATTTTGCTTCAAATGTAACTGTAGGCTCACAAGATCATCCCTTCACTGGCTTCAGTTGAGCTGCATTCATTCATGAGCCCCACACTCTCAAATGCCCCCCCCCCCCCCCCACCCCCATGCCCGGCCAATTGACTGGGAACTGCAGCTGAGCCGAAGCGTAGCTAAATTAGACCGCTTTTCTAATCACCTCTCTTTGTTCTTTTCCCCGGAAATATGCTCTGATTCTCCTCCTGTTTCTTTTCCATCATACACAGCCCAGTACGTGCAGGATGCAAGTGACGCCCAGGCAGGAGAGTACCAGGTCAGAGATAGCAGCGCAGCCGATGTCGTCTCCCCCACTGGCGGCTCAGCCTCCCCAGAGCGAAGCTACACCAAGCAGCAAGAGTACGCCGGAGTGTCCGTGGAGCCCGGGCGAATGGGGTACAGCTCCCCGCCACGCGGAGACAGCAAGCGCCCCAGCGAGCGAATGGAGGTGGAGAAGAGTCGGAACACCCCAACACTCTCCCGCTCGGGAAGCCGACAGAGCGTCCTCGAGAGTCGAACCGAGGCGGCAGCCAGGAGCGGCGCCTCACGCGACGGAAGTCGCGCCCGAAGAGACGATCCGGCGGCTGAAGGAGGAAATGAGGAGAGAGCTGGAAGAGTGGAACCGCAGCAGTACGATGGAGCGGGTGAACTGGGACAGTTTGGCGGCACGCCGGCAGCAATGGAGTACGCCAGTGGGGGAGATTATCAGGCGCTTGGAGGGGAAGTCGCAGGAGATACTTTCGAGCCTCAATACGATGCAGCCGCCTATGGACAGGCTCAATATGAACAGTACGATGCCCAACAGTATGTGTCGCAGCCGGACTATGGTGTGCAGTACGGGGATCAGCAGTACCACCAACAGGACTATGATCCCAGTCAGTATGTGCAGTACAGCGGAGACGGGTACGATCAGCAGCAGCCCGGCGTCACGTTCGCAGAGGCCCCCGTCGTGTACGGGGGCGGAGCAGCGACAGCAGGAGCCGACGTGCAGCAACAGCAACAACAGCAGCAGCAAGTCTACGCAGAACCGGCTAAGGGCGCTGCAAATGTGGGGAACGCAGATGCCAGACAGCAGCCAGCAGCAGGCAAACTATTGCCAGAACAGCCTGCCGCGCCAGTGGCCTCATCTGCAGCGACAAGAAGCCCCGGCGGAGTATCCAATGGCGCAAAGTTCGCAAAGCGATAGTCTGACGTGTCACATGCCCGACGACGGCTTCCGGATCAGTATTAGTAGCCCGAGTTTGTTCGATTGCAGCACCTCAAGTTCTAGTCCGTCGCACTCGCCCATGCCCACAGTGCAGCAGAGGCAGTAACAAGCTAGTGTTGTAGCACAAATCTTAAATAAAGGCCGCGCTTTGATGAAATGGAAAACACCATAATTTCGATCTCTCTGAGAGAAATCCTTTTTTTCTTGGAGAGAGAGGAGAGAGAGGTTGTTTTGATTTTTCCTCCCCCCCCCCCGCTCAAGCTCAACGAACTGGTTTTTTTAACTTACACATAATATTTCGCATGTATTTCCCCCCCCCTCTGACTATTATATTTTTCATTGCTTCCTCGTCGGAACAAATTTGTTATTATTATACATTGTTTCAGTTGTACACCGCACGATATTATATATTGACGACTTTTTTCTGAGCATTCTTCGGATCTTTATTAACCACGAAACACTCAAACACAGACGAAATATTTATCAGATTGACTTTGTATTAGTATTATTCAGTCGTTTGTAAATTCTTTCTTTTTTTGCTAATGGATAAATGCCTTATAGGCCATTGATAAAAACTTTTTCCTTCCTTCCGAGAGATCAAAGTGCATTCGACGAGATTTGATTTCGGGACCTCTGCATCGCCAGGCGAACGCGCTACCAACTGCGCTATGAGGCCGCCATGGAAAGAGATAAATAATTCGCATTCTTAACTCCTCTATGGCTAATTAAAAAAACATTCTTACAGTTTGCTGAACACGAAGCGTAAAGTTGCAGTGTGGGAGTAAGAACTCTTTCCATGGCGGCTTCATAGTGCAGTTGGTAGCGCGTTCGCCTGGCGATGCAGAGGTCCCGAAATCAAGTCTCGTCGAATGCATTTGATCTCTCGGAAGGAAGGAAAAAGTTTTTATCAATGGTCAAAGGCCAAAAAAAGTTGCTGTTGATTTTCCAACTGAGAAAAAAGCGTAGTTCAGTAGAAATGTTTGGCAAAAAATAACAGTTATTATATGTAAAGGCATTCAAGTAAGTGCTGAGTTTGTATTTCATCCTGGCCTTATATTCACCGAAAACAATAGGATAGGATAGGGGGAGGGGGAGGGGAGGGAGGTACCACCACCACACACACATCACACATCACTGTCAAAGAGCAGAATGAATGTTACATTGATGAATAAAAAACAACATATCATAAACATTGGAAGAGAAAGGCAAAAAAAAAGAGATACATAAAAGTTATATGAATGATAACGTTTGATAACAATAGAAGAAAATGCATTTTGAATAATTACAAAAATGGATAAAAGAGCGGGGGGGGGAAGGCCCGACCAGCACATATATACATAAATAATAAAGGAATAAGAAAAGAAATGAGATGATAATATAATAGATTAATAACGGAAATAAGTTAACAGAGAGAGGTCTATTTAGAGTAAAAAAAGAGCACAACTCAGTTGAAGGGGGGGGGGATTAAATTACACCAGTGGCCCCACGGGGCTTTTTGTGCATAGACTGACAGGACCAATAAGTGAATGCACCTCGATAAATTCCTCAGACTCATGTTCTCTGCAATAGAATGAATATTGGACAAAAAGGTCGTGTGAATAGTAGTGCGCTTGGATCTATTGAAAAATAAAAGTACTACACACCTATTATCTGGAAATTTACTCGAGCCAAAGGAGAAAAAAATCTCTTAATTGTGATAGGATTGAAGAAAAATTTGATGAAAGAGTTCCTCTCCTCTCTAACTAAGTCGGATGGATAAGAGAGATATTGTGGGGGAGGGGTGTCTTGAGAACGGGGCGGACTGGACTGTGACTGCTGTATCAAGGATATCTAGTAAGTAAAATTGTGTAAAATCTACAAGTTTTAGAATATATTCAAGGAATGGAACAGATGAAGGAAAGTTAAAGGATGAAAGAGGAGGAAATAGTAGGAGAAAATTGGTGGTGGAAGGGTTGAGAGAGAGAGAGAGAAAAGGAGAGATACAAAGAGCTCACAGAGCCCTGGGGGGGGGGTGTCTGAAATAAGTCCCACTCGTCCCACTAAAAACTTAATTGGGTGCCCCCCCCCCCCCCACACACACACAAAGCACTCTAAAACTAATCTATTCTATTCTTTCCTCTTTCCATCGTCAAGTTAATTACGAAAGCGATCCTTTCACTGAAAAAGTTTCTTTAAAATCCGGAGTAGGTTTATTTCCGCCTTAAATGGTTTACAGCCTTTCGTGGAGACTCTCGTGAACATCGGGACGCGCGCTGATGAGTGGGGGAAAACGCGGCTTTACGCGATTTGTGGGTCGTCGGCCCTTATCGTGATGATGCCCTGCGCCTCCTGATATCCGTGGCGCTGCCGCATGTAGAGGCCGCGCGCAGCCGACCAGCACTGCAGCACGAAGACATTGTTGTACAGGCACATGCCGAACAGCAGCCCGCCAAAGCCCAGGATTTGCAGCGCGTGGAATTGCTGCCAGCCCACAGCCAGCGCCACAAGCCAAATTACCAGCGTGCGCACGGAGTCCAGCACCATCCTGGTGGTAGCGGAGATCTCCTTTGTCACGCTGATGCCGGCGAAGTTGAAGAAGGCGATGGAGATCACGGTGCCGGCGATGGCGAACACGAGCTGCCAATTGTTGCGAATCTGGATCAGTGCGTCAACGAAGTCCTCGAGTGTGCCGCGTGCATTGTTGTTGAATGGCGGACCCACGTGGATGTAGTAGAAGGGGATCAGTAATGTGCCGAGCACGGAGAAGCCGAAGAATCCCTCCCAGCCGACCGCCTGCAGTGCCGGAATATCCAGGCCGGCCACGAAGCGCTCCTCGTATACCATCTGGACGGACGTGATGATCTGCGCCAGGATGATCAGCAAATCACCTGCAAGTGGAAGAGATATGTTAAGGTCAGGATAATCGGGAAAAACACCTGCGGTGTTCGTGAATATAGAAATCAGGATTTCATTTAACTATATAGATGCGATCGTGAAGTTGAATTGGGTCGTGAAGTCTTCCGGGCGAGGAGCACCTGTGAAGGCAAAGCGTGTGGACCTTGGCCAGACTCACCTGTAATGACGTTGTTCCGGGAATGCGCGATTCCGCCGTCGTTGGCGATGAAGTCCGACACGCCGACGATGGCGAGACCGATGATGACAAAGACAATGCCCGTCCACTCGCGCCCCTTGAGCACGCGATTGAGGAAGGCCACACTGAGGATACCCACGAAGATGATCACGGAACCCCTGAACATTTGGAAGCTGGATGCGTAGGTGAGATTGAGCCCAATGTACATGATAGACGTGGCGATCATGTCACACATGGCGGGCACGAAGAGAATAAAAGGATTGAAGTCCCTGTTGCCCTTCGTGAGCTCGTGTGTGTCTTCAGAGCCGTCGCGGCGCCGCCTGAGGTTGTAGTAGAGCATCTTAAAGGCCAGTAAACACAGCATCTCGCCCAGGAACATGGCGCACGCCTGTACAAAGGGATGCGAGAACGCCCTCACGTTCCCGTCCGCGCCCTGTGACTCTAGATTGTCCGCCCATCTAAAATGCGTCAGGGAGAGAGACAAAGCACTTAATTTTGGAGGCTTCATTGGCTGTATTCTGGCCACTCACTTCGTGCTGAGCGTGTTTATGGATCCCGTGACCACCATTGTGACGGCCAGAATGAGTTGATACTTTGACCAGGCCATTTGAGCAGGAGGAAACGCTGAATCGTGGACTTTTCACAGTGAAAAACACAAAGAAAACTGACGACGATCGGCTTGTTTACGGACTAATGGCCTTATCAGCTGACTTTTAGCACTGCAGTGCTAAAAGTGCATCACTCTGTATCACAGTGTCAAATTGGTATAACAGCGTGTGAGTTTTGGAACAAAGACAGTGTTTTTTCTCATTTTTATAGGGAAATTGTGCTGAAATCTCGCAATATTTTCTCTAAAACTATTCAATAAACATTCTTCTTGGGGAAAATGGTGAGAAATGTTGAAATTATTTGCTATAATACAGCAAATTGATTGTGTGTTTTGCTGTGTTTACCTTTTCACAGGGGAGACGCAAGAGATTCATCGATAAAAACAATTCCGTGACCTTTCACGTGGTGAATCGCAGTCAACAGGATCCACTGATTGCCGATGATAGTGCCCCACAGCATGTCCTGGTGCAGGCGACGCCGGCAAAGGAGAAAGTGAGCCCCCTTTGAAAGTGAGGTTATGTCTCTGTTTACAACACGTGTATTTCTTCCTCTTGGCAGCGCAAGGAGGAGCAAACTAAGTACGGAATCTACTTCGACGATGACTACGACTACCTGCAGCACCTGCGCCCCCGATCGGAGGTCGTGTGGGAGTGCCTGGAGGTGAGTTTTTTCTCCCTCTACTTCTGGTAGAACTTGGCCAGATTGTACTTGTCATAGCGCGGATGTTTTTGCGTCACGCAACGGAAATAGATTATCTCCGCGATGAGTGCCAGTGTGGCTAGGAAGTAGCCCAAGCCCAGTGCCACAAAGGCCGCTGTCATCTTCTTCAAATTCACAATTGCACCCTCGGGTGGCGGCTCGACGCTGAACGCGAACTCCTCGATGCTGTCGCTCAGCCACTTCCTCACCAGTCCCATCTCCGTAACACGATGCACATACTTGTCCGTAGCCACTCTGAGCGGAGAGTTCTTCTGCATGCCCAGCGCGATGGGCATGTGAATGACACACTCGCGCATGATGTGCATGATCTGCTGGTCGTCCTCTTGATTGCGTGCGGCGCGCAACTTCTTCAGCATGTGCTCGTTCTCGTAGAAGGCATATGCGCCCTGTGCCACCTTATCCACCGCCTCGTCGGCACTGTTGATGTCCTCCAGGCGCTCACCGATGAGCTGACTGGTGTCGTCCAGTGATGTGAGAAAGAACTTCTTGGTCTCCGTGCCCCAGGCGCCGCAGCCCATTTTGCTGTTGGCCAGCTGCTCCATGCTGTCGATCGTCAACCTGTAAAGGAAGAGAGCGTCGTTGAATTGGGCCCAAATTCAAGGTTTTTTTTTGTCTTATTTGACACCATTTGAGTCATTTCCTGCCTCAAATTCAATGGTCTTCTTTGACACCTTAATTTTATGGCATAACTCTGATTCTAACGACCTGATATTGTTGATTTTGGGCTCTTTGGAAAGCTCCTATTGAGCATCATAAGTCTTCTGAACATTAGAAATTTGTCAAACCACCACAAGAGGTGCTGGAAGTCTTTAAATATAGATTGGCTCAAGTCATTGGAATCTGCTCAACTCACCTGGCAACGGGATTGGCCAGGATGGCCGTCATGCTAGCCTTGTAGGCCACGACAAGAAGGATGCAGTAGATGTAGTACCAGCCGGTGAGCAGTCTGATGGCCCAGGCGCGCGGAAGCCGCGGCAGGGAGACAAGCAGAAGCATGCTGTACGTGTAGAGGATGCAATTGGAGAAGTCATCAAAGATATCCTTGGATCTGCGTGGCTCTGTCACTTTGGGCGGATTCTCAGGCGCTTCCTGCTCCACACGCGTCGTCCAGAAGACCAGATTCTGCACGCGGAAATGCTTTTGGGTGTGGTGTGGTGTCATCTTGTGGTGAATGTAGACATAGAAGGTGGAGAGGAGGAAGAAGATGAGTCCGACGGCGAGCAGTGACACACACACACCGATCCACATCTCCGGACTGAAGGGCAGAATCAGTGTCTTCCAGGAGTTGTCCGAGAGGATTTCGGGCGTGAGGAAGGTCCAGCACTCAGTGTCGTACGGAATGCTGAGATCCATCAGCCCCAGATGGTAGCGCGTGTAGTGGAAATCGCCGAGCGCAAAGTCAGATCTGCCGGACACGATTTCCCCCAGCAAACCGCTGAATGTGCCGTTGAGCTGGAAGCGCCCCCACTTCTCGGTGTCGGGATTCGGCGACTGGTAGAAGGAGACGCGGAAGTTGAGCGCCTGTGCCAGAGCTTTCACCATCTGCACTTCCACGCCGGAGAAGATTTCTGTGGTGACTTAAGATTTTTTAGCTAAGAGGTCGATTTAAAGTTAAACTCAAGGAAAAATATCTTCACATTAGCCAATATTCTTTTAACTTGCCTGTAGCGTCTGAGCCATTGGTGCGCACCGTGACGGCGGGAACGTGATCGAGAAGCGCTGCCTGGAGGATCTGACCTTTGAGATCTCTAGTCTTGTCCTCGAAGAGCTTCTCACGGTGGCGAAACTTGCCGTCCTGCCAGAAGTCCACTCTCTTGGCCACGAAAACCTCCTTCAGGGGCGGTGGAAAGGGCACAGTTGTGAGCTCAAACCAGGGACTCGAGGAATTGCCGCCACTGTGTCGCTTGTGCGTGTGCAGCTGCCGGACGAAGATCACATTAATGATTTTCTTCCAGATGCTCTGCATGCGTGCGGTGAAGAGGCGATAGTCGTGCAGCAGCACGTACTTCGCCTTGCTGTGCAACAATCGATGTCGATCGCCGAAGCGCAGGAAGCGCTCCACTTGAATACCATTGGCCAGATAGATCACGAAGGCGCCACAATTGGCCTTCCTGATCTCCTGCAGCATCCGGACAGTGCGATAGTTGGGCGAGAGGAGATCTTCGGAGTCACTGATCAGCACGAGGAAGATGGGATAATCCTCCACACCACTCTCGAATAGCTTCTCACGCAAGAGTTCATAGTACTGGCGATCTGTGATGAAGGCGAAACATATTCCAGGATCGAGTTTTGAGATGATACTTGTCGTTAAGACATCCAAATCGCGATGGAGATTGAAATTCTCGAGGATTTTCTCCGTGAGAGGCAGCGAAAAGTCACAGCTAATGAGCAGCAGTGCAAGAGAAAAGATGACTTTCATGTCTGAGGACTGGCAATTGACTGGGAGAAGACCTACTCCGTATTCTGCTCCGGATTTTGAGGGTGGAAAGTGAAAAGAAACCTTTATTGAAAGGGGTTGTCAATCTTGAAATATTTTTCCCCTTTACAGCATAATAAGCGAATAATCAAGGCTGGCTTATGAGTGAGCTGGGCAACAAAAACAACTCGAAATATGGCCAACTCAATTTATAATTTAATAACTCATAACCGCCTTAAATCGGTTCGTAATCAACTTCAGTTGATACTTCATACAATGGGCTGGTAAAAGTGTGACCTTTCCACCTTTCATATCTCAACTTCTAAATAATCAATCTTTATAAATCAGGGTTCGTTGGAAAGGTTTCAATCTTGTACAACTTAATGCGATTCACGGAAAATGATAGAATTCATTTCGAGACACTTTAAATTTTGACGCAAACTCAACTCAATTGAGATCTATATATATATATATATTAGGATACTCAGCATTGAAAATTAATTTCTCTACTCTTCACTGCCAATTGTACAGAATTCGTCCTGATAATGGGCCTCTGGCTTCGATGTTGTGTGTTCCACTAACCTTTTTGCATGCAAATCATGTCGATTAATAATTAATATTCCGCCCTTTTCGCAGGACTCGCGTCTTCAACTGCCGAGCTCCGTGTTCCCGTCGACCGTCGAGGAGGAGGAGGGCATGCTGAACAAGGCCGCACCTGTCTTCGGGCCTCAGCCTCACTTGGATCCCGACATCGTGGCCGCGCTGGACGATGACTTTGACTACGAGAATCCCGCCAATGAGCTGGAGGACGACTTCATGGATAAGGCGCTGGCTGAGGGTAGTGAAGATGATGAGGAAGAGTGGGAAGATGAGGAGGAGGAGGATGAGTTTGAAGTTGAGGAGGATGACGAAATCGAAGAGCTTGAGCAGTTCAAGAAGCATAAATTTGGCGGCGTCGAGACAAAGTCGCGCTTCACAGAGTACTCAATCTCCAGCAGTGTGATGCGGAGGAATGAGCAACTCACGCTCCTGGATGATCGCTTCGAGAAGTTCATGGCGAACTACGATGAGTCGGAGATTGGCGCGCTGGATTGCGAGGATCTGGAGGAGGGTGACTTCAACTACACCAATGACATGCTGATTCAGCTGGCGACGAAGGGCAAGCTGGACAAGTATGAGACGTACGACAAGGCGTGGGACAAGGAGCGCATCCGGAAGATGCAGGAAGAGGTCTCGGACGAAGAGATGGTGGAGATTGAAGTGGAGGACGATGAGAAGCCCAAGATTGACTGCGAAAGCATTCTCACGGTCACTTCTGCACAGACGCACAAGCCCAGACTGATTGAGAGCGCCAGGAGGAGCAAGAAGATCGAGATTGGCAGCAGAGGTATTCCCAAGAATGTCCTGGATGGCGAAAAGGGACTCACAGTGGACAAAGTCAACAAGTTCAACAGCAAAAATCTCAGGTGAGCTTAAGAAAATTGTCCTGAGAACACTTTTCCGGTGGAGAAATGCCAGAAGAAATTGTTGGATTAGGATTCAGAAATAGCAAAGCCTTAAAAACAGATTCAATTGCTGATTCAAGGACATAGACAAACCAATTGAAAACTCTTTGCAACAAGCTCTTAATATGATTTTTTAAATCGGCCCTTATCGGTCTTTTGTCTTCGGTAAAATCATTGTCCTTAAAAAAAATTGAAAGATTATTTTTTCAAGCTCTTCTATGGCAAACCCAACAATATTTCAGTGAATTCTGATTTGATTTTATCCACAAAATCCGCTTCTTTCAAGTGGAAAATTCTAATTTCTAACCAACGACAGCAATCCATTTTTCCCAATGATTTTCTCCATATTTTGCGTCACTCTGATTTTTGCAAGTCATTTCAATCTCGAATTATTGATTCGATTGCAGGGAAGATTCTTCCGCCATGTCGGTGTGCGAGAGCGTGCGATCCACACTGAGTGTCCTGTCTATTCGGCCGAAGGATGAGAGTCGGGAAGAGAAGAGGGAGCGTAAGAGGCTGCTGAAGGAGTATCGTGCCGAGCGGCGCATCGAGCGCAAGGCCAATGAGCAGGCGTTTAAGGAGGAGAAGTTGCGTCAGGATCGCCAACGTGCCAACACAGTGACAAAGACGCTCGTGTAAAGTTTCCTGTCCGCCTTTTAATTCCTCACAATGTGCAACTATAAAGGTTGGTCTGTTGAAGGTGAATAAAATCCTGATGGCCGGCATCTCTCTTTGCGCCCTCTAATTCGCATCCGCGGGCTTCGGACGGTGCGTGTCCACGGCATCGATGGGCAGCTTGATGTGCTCCACTTTGCAGCCGTATGCGACGGGCGTCAGCTTGATGACGGTGTGAAGAGGCACTTGCAAGTAGGGAAGTTCATCTGCCGACGGAAAGAGACAGAGAGAGAGAGAGAGAGAGAGAGAAAAGGAGGTGAGTTTTCTGTAAGCTATGTAAGTGAAAGATTTATCAATGAATAAGCAGAAAAGTGTGCAGAAAGTGTTCGCTAAAAAATATATATTTCTTATGCGTTTTTCCTTCACATTTTCTGTGTAAATTTCCTTATATTAAATTGCTAAAATCGTGCACAATGTCTTAGGAAAATAGACAAAATTATATTTCGCTTAATTTTTCATGCACAAAAATTGATAACAAGTTTATTTTCCATGTCAAATTACAATAATAAACAGTGCAACTAATTTGATTGTCAACAATTACAATACTGAAACAAAATAAACGTGAGTTTTTCTCAAATATCAGCATTGTTTGTTGTGTTCACGAAATATTAATGAAACGGAATGTTTTATAGTCTTTAACTGTTTGTTCTCTTAACTCAATAATCAATGGAAAATTACATTCAATAGAATATAGAAAAAAAAACAGAAACATATGAGTGAGGATAATTAATGAAAATACTCTGAGAACCAATTATCATGAGAGAAAAGCTCATTTAGTGTTAATAGAAAGAAAAATAATTAAACCATTTCATGTGAGAATATTCTTTACGAAACGAGAGTTAAGAACTCAATATTAATTACAGCAAAAAGGAGAATTCTATTATGTCATTTAACTTCATTAATATTATACGAAGGAATTTTCCTTTCGATTCTCCAATTATTGGAATTGTTTCGTATTCATAGAGTTTAGAGAGACATTGTGAAAAAAAGGGGAAGAGAAATCGTCTAAAGTAATAAATGATTTCAAGTTTAAGCATATTTCCCCGGCACTCTCCTATTCAGTTCATGTTTGCCGTCAACATGTTTACACCCAGAGATATTACTCTGATTTCCACTACTTTGACATGTCAAATAAACTTGTTGATCCACGGAGAGTTTCCATGAACTCAGTTTACAATAACAGAGATTTGCATCACTTGCACTTTATTGACGCAAACGGCGCACTTTCTGAAATACTGGCAAAATATTATCGCGTGTGGGTGAACTCACCTGATGTCTTGTCGAGGAAGTAGGCGAGCAGGCAGCGCAGCACAGCCTGGTGCGACACCACCAGCACATTACCCTGGCGCTCCAACTCCATGATCACGGGCTCCAGGCGCGCCACAAGATCCTCGTAGCTTTCGCCGCGCGGGTATCTGTACGCGTACTTGTTCTGGTCACGCGCCCGGAACTCCTCAGGGTACTTCTTATTGATCTCCTCGTAGCTCATCTCCTCGCAGATGCCCTGCAACACACAGCCGAGGCGGAAGAGAGACACATTTGATGAGGAAAAGCAATCTATTTCCGGTGTTCGTGATGTGTAAAATGATCTTTCTGTCTTGATTTGAAGCATTTTATGAGAATGATTGAACTAGAAATGCGCTGAAGAAGTTAAGAAAATTCTTCTGTGTTAAAATTCTCATGAAAAGAAGATTAAAAAGTTAAAAAATCGTTATTATTATACTGAATTTACCGTCATTTTAGATCTCATTAATCTAAAAGGTATGAAAAGTAATTGATAATTAGCTCACAATGTTATCAGTGAGGTGTCGCAGGAGATATTCGTGTGGAAATTTACCACAAAAATCCTCTTATAAACTACACTCTTATAAAATCGCGAATAAACGCATTTAAAATCCTCAAATGTATGAAATTATTGGAGTATTTTGAGAAGAAGACGAGATTAAACTAGTTACATGGTTTAAATAAGTTCATAAACCTAAGATTTGTGGGTAGAAATCACGTGATAAGATGCCAGATTAAGATAACTAATGATCTTCTGATAATATCTGCAAATATTGCGCTCAAAATCACACCAAACTAATCCATAAATGGCGTTAAATAAATGCTCACCGCGTCAATCTCATTGAGTGCCTTCCATCGCTCTTGCGGCGCTCGCACATCCGCGACGGTCTGAATGGTGCGCTTGAGCCATGACGTCCACACGCGCAGGCCATCGATCTGCTGGTCCTTGATGTAGTTCGCCAGCACTTTGGCGTACTGAATGCCGCGCGAGCTCAAGTCCGAATCGCCACCAATCAGGCCTCTGATGTTGTGGTCGCTTTCGCCGTGCTGGAAGAATGGAATTGTCAGAGTCATCATTCTCTCCGGAAGTGGCGGAAAAGTTGATTTATTTCTCTTGCTGGCAACACGCGAGTTTTGATCAATTATTCCTACGGTTTATTAAATTAGGTATGATGGATCTTCCCTCCTCTCCTTTCCTCCCCCCTTCTTTTCTATCTAATTTTTGCCTTCGCCTGATCTTGGGATTATTGATCGATCCTGACTTTGAAGAATCATCTTGATCCTTGGGGATTATTCGGAACTTGTGGTATATATTTTTCTAACTAAGTTTACATGCAGCAAGTCGCTCCTCAAAAGCACTTTTATCTCATCACAATCTTATTCCGGGACACTAGGAGTTAGAAGAGAACCTTTTTCATCATTTTTTTCCATCAATCAATACAATTGGGAGAAGAACTTTTATACTCTCTGCTGCTGCTCACAGCTCGTGTGAATTTCCACAGATATTACCACCCCCCCCCCTTTTGTTTTCATCAATCGATCCCAGCAGCATTATTCACACAAACTTTGGCCAATATTCTAGTGTATAGAGCAGCACGAGAGAAGATTTAATTAGGGGGCGGGCGGGCGCGCGCTTATTCATCATGTGCAATGTCGTCAGTCAGTCAATGCGGTGGCCCATTGCATTTTATCTTGCATTGGTGAGGTTGATCAATCCCTCTCTCTTCCCCTCCCCCAATCAAACTGAATTGAGCTCTCTTTTTCTCTTACTCTTTTGTATGTATAATAAAACCCACCCCTCCTCCTCTCTTTTGTGTTGAACAATATTTCCCGTTATTATCGGATATATATCTCTCTACTACTTTTTTCTTTTTCTTTTCTTATTTCACCCTCCCCCCCCTCCCTCTTTATATGTCTATTATCTCTTTTTCCATTTATGTAATATATTTTTTTTTATAATATTTTAAAGCATTTTTCTATTGTTATTTTTTTATATCTTCTATTTATTATTCTCTCTTTTTTTACCACCTCTCTTTTTTTCAATTATCTTTCCCATTCATTTTATTTCATTCATCAAATGTAACTGCTTTTTGTTCTTGGGCTTGATTGATAATATTTATGTTTTTACTTGTGTTTTTTTTTCGGTGAGTGTGGTGGTGGTGGTGGGTGGGTGGGTGGTGTTAATTCGGGACCGACCATGCACGGTACCGACGATATAAACAACAACCAACACAACTACTTCAACTTCAGCATTTGAATGAATATTTGGTCCCTTCTTTTGTTTTTTTTGCCAAGGGAAACACACATTTTTCCCTCCCCCTTTCACTGAGAACTGAACTAACTATTTTTTTTTCAGTTGGAAAATCAACCCCCCCCCCCTTGCGGCCTACACCACGCACACACAACTTCTTTTCTTTTTACTGCGTTGGAAGACCATTTAAATTAAAATTAATTATAGGCTTTTTTTCTTCCCCTTGCCGAGATCAAGTGCACTCGACGGGATTTGATCTCGGGACCTCTGCATCGCCAGGCGAACGCACTACTAACTGCACTATGAGGCCACTTAATATTATGGTAAAAACACAGCATTTGTCTAGCGAAAGTTGATAGAGATCATTTCTTTCTTCACCGCGCGTATCGTGTATTTTCCTTCTTGCTCCCACAGTGTCTGTCAATGAGTGGACTGAGTAAAACCGTGTGGTGAAGAAAATGATGACCTCTATCAATTTTCTTCGCCAGACAACTGCTGTGTTTTCACCATTATAGACAAACTGGAAATCTTTGGTGCTAAAAGTAATATAAGTAATATTTTCAGGATTCTAAGGGATCCTTCGAAAAGTACAATAAGACGCTAACTTTTGATAGTTTTATGCCTCACCAGCTGAATAGACGCCATCATGGCAAGAAGGTGTACAAGGAAGAGCGCGCGCGCGCGGGCGCAGGAAACTCACCCTGGTGAAGTAGATTGTTCGCGGCGTGATGTGAATGTTCATGAGATAGTAGACAATGCGCGATTGAATGTGTCCCTCGTGGCGATTGACGACGATTCGCTCGCCAGTGTTGAATATCTTCATGTACGACAGCACATTTTCCTCCACTTCATCAAGTGGCTGATACTTCTCCTGGTAATGTTCAATTCTAAGAAGAAAGTCTTTTAGTGCGGCCTCTGTGTTCATATTCTTATAGTCTGGACTGCTGATCTTCACCTCCTGCAATGCATCTGCAGTGAGATATAAACAGTTGCCTGTGTGACACACTTGCATGCGCTTTACCATGATATTCTGCTCAATGATGCGTGGATCATCGCAAATTGACTCGACGAAGAACAGCTTATAGCCCATCTTGTCCACCACGATGTTCCTTATCATCTTGCGGCGCTCCTTTGTGGAGTTCGTGGCGTCAAACACCTGCAAAAGCCGCACACGAAAATCGCGCTCAGTTTCATTTGGCATATTTATGACGGGTGGGGCGAAAGTCAGTTCAGAGTCTCTGGGGCTGGAATCCTCCGGCGTGATTACGTTATCTCACTCGCTCGCAGAGTTCTGCGCCGATTCGCAACTGCGGCGGCGGCGCAGAACTCACTTTGCTGCTATTTAAATGCTTCTTTTTGGCCACAATTTCGTCGTGAAATAGTACTTTTCACTCTTCAAAATACTTAACATGAATTAATCAAATTTTTTCGGTAGTTAATAAATGTCTGAACGTGAAATCAACGGTATTTTCTCACTAAGTTTTGAAAAATACAAAGAGAATCTGCGGAATCTATTGCAATTGTGAAGGAATTTAGCATGAAAGATTATTGCGAATAAAGCACGGCCGCGGAGGGAAGGCTGCGCAGACCTTTGGGGGGATTCCAGCCCCAAGAGACTTGAGACAAGAGGAGAAGAGATAAATTGTGAATGTTTGAGTACCGCAACTTCACCGCCAGAATTCAGCCACTTACAGACGTCTTCCAGGGCTTTAATGGCGCACGTCGTGCGGATGGCCATGGCCTCCTCGTTGTCCTGCCGGAAGAACTCGTGGCTCTTGTACGCCGTGGTGGCGTGGCGGCGGTACTCGCCCAAGTTGAACACTGTTGAATGGGAAGAAAAACAGCCCTTGAACTGAGCGGCTGACCTTGCGCGATAGCGCGCGATCTTGACGCGCGCGCGAGATCACGCTCTGGCGCTGTGCTTCCTTACCTTTCGTGTTGATCCCAATCCAGTTGAGATAGCGCGACAGCTTCTTGGCAATGTAGGTCTTGCCCCTGGCCGGCAGGCCCACCATGGCGATCACATGCGGGCTGTTCACGTAGTTGGCGCGCTCGCCATAGCCGAATGTCTCCTTGTTCAGGAACTTCCATCCCAGCGACTTGAGATCCATGGCGGAGGTGCTCAGGTTGGCTGCATAAGAGGAGAGTCTCGCGCTCTGTTCACCTGCGATGAAGCGCCACAGAAAGACAGACCATTAGAAATGCTAATTCGGACAACTAATGCGGCGCGAGATTATTGTTGCTCGGCCAGTTTTATCAGGAAGGTCGATTGGTGGCTGACAAGGAAATCACGGAGGCAATCGCAGCAAACAACACGCAGAACTCATGGGGCACAAAAATTGACCACAACACTGTGAGAAGGAGAGCGCCCTTTTGGGAGGTGGGGTGGGAAAAGCCAGTGGAAAATTACCCGGAAAGCACGTGTCACACACAATTCTCAGCTGACAATGCGTAGAATCGACTTCTCGCCGCGACGGAGCGCTCAAGTGGAGTTCTCCGTGGGAAAATCAGCAGGAAAATGTTTGTTATCAAAATGCCACATGCCCAGAAGAGGTGGTCTGACAATTTTTCCCCGACGAGCGAGATGCCGCGAGTGCGCCAGAGCGAGACGGCGTCACTGAGCCGCCCGTCTGGATGCGTGCGAGAGCGAGACAACCACACACACACACACTTCCCTTATCACGGCATGACAGTAGAACAGTAGAGTACTAAAAACCCAGCTGTATCATTGCAGGATATAATAGCATTCTCGTGATGGAAAAATACACATTGACCGCCAGGCAGAAAATACGTCTGCATTATTTGGAATTGTACACGACACTGCGCAGTTGAATCACCAGTCAGTTGGCAGAGAGCGACTGGTGCAATACCGGTTTGACGCTAGAGCGGGCGGTCGGCTCTGCTGAATAACGGGTTGTCAGTCAGTCTGTCGACAACCAAGATGGCTGCTGGTTGTTTGTTCGGAGCGCTCGGAGTGCGTGACTGAATATACGGTCAGTGACACGCTGACCCGCAGAACTGTTTATATGTCCACCTCCGGGACACCACAGATTTATTAGTCCCTCAAACGTGGCTCTCCGTTTCCGCCCCCTCGGAGATTTTTAGTACTGAAACTCTCTTTTTTTTGTCACTTTCGCATTGGCCGATGGATGACGGACTGCGAAAGCACCCTGTGTTTGCTTTTAAGGCATTTTTCAATCCTTTCTGTGCTTGTGCTGTGCAATATATGTGCTTGCAAGTGTTAATAGTATTTTTCCCTGACTGTTCATTCCATAGGTTTTGTCAGTGTATATCAACGGAAGAAATTCAAAAGTGTTTGACACTTCAACTTTTGGCAGTAACTTCAGGGCGATGCTTTCCTCCACACTCGAGTCCACAGCAATTCCCGCTGATCCCATGGAAAATTCTGAGCAGGAAATCACGGATCAGGTGGCGGAGCTCACGCAGGAGATCGACAGGGGCCTGAAGATCCTCGAGGGTTTCCAAATGTGAGTGAATCGCAGTGTTTGTCAGCCAGATGGTCACTGACTGACTTGTGTGGGTGTTTTTATTTCAGAAACTGGATGATTGTGCGCGATGCCGACACCGGGAACGTCATCTGGCAGGACAACAAGGACTTCTCGTGTCCGGACGTGGAGCACGAGGCGCGTGTGCCTGTGAAGATCCTTGATTTGCGGGCGATCTCGCGTGAGATCAACTTCAGCACCGTGGAGGCGATGGAAAACTTCCGTCTGGACCAAAAAGTGCTCTTCAAGGGGCGCATCATGGAGGAGTGGTTCTTCGAGATGGGCTGGGTGAGCCCCAACAGCACCAACACGTGGCAATCGACCATCGAGGCGGCACCGGAGAGCCAAATGATGCCCGCCAAGGTGCTCAAGTGAGTATCCGGAAGTGCCTCCCGGACACACAACTCATTTTCCTTACTCCTCTCTCTCTCTTTGTCCAGTGGCAACGTGACCATCGAGACGAGTTTCTACAACGGCGATCTGCTTATCACGAAGTCTGTGGTGCGTCTGTACTACGTCTAGTCCGGCTGAGGCTCACCGAGTGTCCTTAACTTTGATGTGTTTGTGTGCTGCACGGAGCAGCGAAGCTGCCTTGTGATGTAACAATTCACCCTCACGGATCAGTTGCATTTCCTGCCTTCAATTCCCAACGACGCGGACAAATTCCTCCAGAAATACAACGACTGGCCGAGGCTGCGAAGAGGAATGTGAAGAAGAAGCGCATGGCGAAATACACGAAGCAATTAACTTAAAAGCACTTAAAATGTTTCTTTTGTAATCTTCATACAAGAGAATAAGGACATTGAGCAATTTTTCTGACGGCACAAATCTTAAATTTACATTTGTATGTGTAACTTGAGTTAAGGAATGCGCGTTGAACTCTTCTTTGATTTGTCCTTTTCCTTTCCTGTGCAAATTTCAACGATGAAGTCTCTTTAGTTGAAGTTTCTCGAGTAGATTTTCCGTTGTCATCTTGGGGTTGTTATAATATAAAGAGTGTTTTGTTTAAATTACTTTTATTTTGCCTCTGAACTTTACATCAATATGTAGACTTCTTTAGTTTACTTGTTGGGATCTGGATTTTGGGGACAGGATCGAAAATGTGTTTGTCTTCCTTTTTTTGCGAAAGAATCGCGAGCAGATAATCTCTGCTGCACATTTTACAATTTTTTTCCTTAATACTTTTGAGAATCTGCTCACAAAATCCTGACTTTTTTTTAATCTTTTTTAGTTAATGATTAAATGTGTATTTTTATTTATATAATTCAAAATTTTTTTTCTCCTCTCAATAATTTTTTTCAAGACTAGACAAAATCTTTTCATCTTCTCACATACATTTTTCTCCTTCCCTCTTTTTTTTCTAATCCATGGTTTTTTTTATCTCTTTTTTTGTGTAGTATTATTTTTGCTTTAGAAAAATAAATCGAAGGGCCACAGAAGGGAGATTAGTTTTTATGTTTTTAACCACCAAAGAGTTGTTGAAGTATTTACAAACACGCATTCTGGCTATACAGACTTTCCACATCCTTAAGTTTTAAAATCCCATTGCTTAGAATCTCTCTCTCCGGTGCCTGAAATGTGATTCGCTTTAGACCTCGGTGGAGCGCCCAAAGGCGCCGACGTCCTCGGAGCGGGACGGCTTGCGCTCGCGCTTGTGGAAAATGCCACCCAGGAAGCCCGGCTGTGCGTGATGCACGGGCGTCGTGCTGGCCGCCTGGCCGCCCGCCGCCGGATGAATGAGGCGCACCTTGGAGTCACTGCGCGAGCCACTGCTGGCCGAGGTGGACTGGAAGGAGATACTCATGCCGCTGTCCAGCGATCCGACGCTGCCGCGCCGCTGTGGCTTCTCTGTGCCGACTGCAAAAGAGAAGAAAAAAAACGCACAATCAGTCATTTGGCAACTTGACTATATATATATATATATATATATATATTGAAAGGTGGTCCCCAGAAGTGCGTGGAAGTATTTAACACTCTGTTGAACCATTCTTTCATTATATTGACTCGCTAATGCATCGAGTGTCCCTCATAGTTGGGCTTTAAGCATGGATTTACATGATCAAGAATATAAGAAATTCAACTTAGAATCACATGGAAAAATGGTGTGAAAAGCTTTTGCAATTTATGAGAGAAAAAAAGCCGCCAAAGAACTTTAGATCCCAATGAGGAGAACCTTTTCATCAGGGTTTCCCCCCCCCACTAAGCCAGGAAACTATGCTTTAGTCCAGACTTACATTGCTCGTGCATGTCCAGCAGACTGTTGCTGAGGGCGCTGCGCTTCAGCTGTGCATCCTGCGCGGCATCGCTGGGCGACGTCTGGTAGGGACACGGACACACTTCCACGTCGGCCACACCACTGTCGCGGTTCTCAGCGTTGCCACTACGATTGCCGCCGCGGCTCGACTTCTGCCGCTCCAGTTCCGCCTCGATGCGCAACGCCTCCATTTCGTCCATCTCGCAAATGGACTCGCGCAGATCCTCGGCGAATTTGCAGCGATCGTGCTCGTTGCGCGCATTGAATGTCACCAGCACTTTGCCGTCCACCTTCTGCGACAGCCGGATGCAGTACGGGTAATCTGCAGAGGAGAGAAGAGGAGGTGTCAATCAGCAATGGGCAAAATTTGTACAACTTTCTTTTATTCCATGATATCATTTTAGTCCATTCCCTCTTTTGCCATCCCCAAAATTTATTCCATCTATTCTATCACAGATTTATTCCAATTATGTTCCCACTTAGAGAAGAAGTATTTTGTTATGCGCAGGTGGTTTGGGAAAGTGTGGTATTTATTTGGGTATTTGCATCTCTTGAATCGCGTGGCCATTTAATTCTTGCCAAGGCACGCACTGTTGAAAATTGTGTCAATCACTCGATGTAATTAGTGTAATACATTTATTAAATTGCGCGCGAGTGTTCTGTGGAACGACAGAGGGGGGGAAAGGGTCTTTTAGAGACCCCCCACAACATCTTCTAGAGAAATTGGGCATCCTGGGCGGAGGAGGGAGGGAGAGACAACAGATTTTTTTTGTTCTTCGTCTCCGCATGAAGGGGGATTTTATCTATTGATTCTGTTTCTTTATCAGGTGATTGATGATAAGAGTGCATGCATTCTGGGCAGTGACTGGAGGAGAGTGTGTGGAAGTCCTGAGGAAAGGAAACTAAATCCACACTGTTCTGCCGCTGCTATTTCGCAGCAGGTGAGAACGAGAACACAAATCCAGAGATATCTCTTTGGCGGCAGAGTCTCTGAAGAGAGAACACTTCTACTAAAAGCTGTTTTTATCATTCAATATCGGTGCGTGGTGAGTGAGAGGAGCGAGCCACCCACAGTCCCCCTCCCTCTATATGTTTTCCTTGTCACTGCGACCATTTATTGATCTATTGTGGGTGCCCTTGAAAAGGAGGATCAGCGGTAGGTACAACACAACAACAACATCACCACCAACACACCCACTCACAACATTTAAGGCTGTGTAGAATGAATAATGAAGAATCCTCCTCCCCCAATGAGATATTTTTTTTTGGCTAGAATTTTTCACCGGTCTATGGATATATGCCCCATTGATGATGATGATGCTTTTTCGTGTTTAGCTGAATGAATTTGCTGCTGCTGCTCCTCTCCCCCACCGCTCCTCCCTGAACCTCTCTTTTTCTTCCGGATATTTGTAAAAATTTTATATTTATTTAGTGTCTTCCTTCCTTCTTCCTCTGGAGCTCTCTTTCAGTAATGACGTCACTTTTATTGACCAATAAGCGTTTTGTGTTTTTATTCACACAGCGGCAGATATTCCCAAAGCGGCCGACTAAACACCTCCCCCTCCCTCTTTTGGCTTCGTCATACACCAATCTTAATGTATAAGTCTAGTATAAGTAGTATATTACAGGGGCAGAGCACAAGACAATTCTAGTGAAGCGTATGTTTCAACTGGGACACATTCAACAGCAATCACACCACCAACCACGCGCCCCACAACTCTACCTACACAACCCTTTCACACCTCTCTCTCTCTCTCTCTCCTCTACCCTACCACCACCACCCACCCCACACACCCCGCGCTTGGGCTGCTCTCTTTTGCCCCATTAAAATGCTTTTTCGCGCAATCACTAAGGTGTTTTTGAAACATTTTTGCAATTGGTAGGGGGTGGGGGGGGGGGGATTTGAACTCACGACTGTCGCGTCAGGAGTCAAGCGCGTTGACCACTGAACCACAGCCGCCCTTAACGTTCTACTCATATAATATCATCTAATCTTACTTGGCACATCGAGCAGTGTGACAACCATGCCGCAGAGCGGATAGGAGTTCCTGAATGTGTACGTCACGGAGGACTTCTTCTTGCTGAGAATCTTGGTGATGACCAGCAAGTCGTTGAAGAGAAACACCTCACGCTGGTGCACACCGGCGCGCTCCTTCTTGTTGATGTCGGGAATCTCGTACAGGCGACAGTAGCACACGAGGCGTCGGTGTGGCAACGCCAGATTCGGCTTCTTGCCCACAATTGTCGCCTGCACCTTCATCACTTGTGTCACGTGATCTGAGCCGGGCTTGAACTCGTTGGCCTTGATGCGCTCGTAGATGCCGCACAGCATGTCCGTGTCGATGTCATGGCAGTCATCGATGCCGCGCAGATTCTTGATGAAATCCTCCGTGCGCATCCGACGCTCTGGCTTCAGGTTTGGCGTGTGCAGATCCGTGTTCAGCATGATGATCGCGAACGCCAGCACGAAGACCTGCGAAAGGAAGACAGCGTGAGGAGGGATGTTCTGACCATAGACTTGTACATGGGACAACTTGAGCAACAGCTCAATGGGGGAAGGAAGACTCACCGTGTCGGATGACCTGAGTCTGGCCACGATGTCTGAGTTGCACTGACAGTAGCGCTGTGAGAATACCTCCATGAGACGCTCGATCTTCTGCGCCTCGCCGGGCATCCGGAAGTATGCCTGGAATTTGCGCAGCGCCACATCCACTTGCATCCCACACAGATCCAACTCACCGGCGAAGCACTCCAGCACGGCCATGTTGAAGGGGTTCTGCAGATTGCCCAGATACTCGCCGATCATCTGCCTGGACAGACCCTTGCGCGAGATGAGAAAGCGCGCCACGCCCTGCGGCGTGTTCTCCAGGAAGCCGCGCCGGATCAAGTACGTCACACCCTTCTCGGGTTTCTTGTTGAACAGATTCAACCCGATGCGATACTGACGCTTGCGGATGGTCTCGCTCACCTTGTAGCTGGTCGGCGTGGCGATCTGCTCGTGCTGCTCCAGCGCATACTGCGCCGCCGATGTGTGCGAACTCAGGCACTCAGCCTCCGCCGCGCCCACACCCGCCGGATCTGGACTCTGTGCCGGCACGCCGCCGGGCTTGCGCTTCCACTGTGGCGAGTTGGAGCGATCGGACGCCACCTCGCATTGCATCCGCTCCGTGGAGGCGCTGCTGTCGCTGCCCGACGATTGCACGGACGACAGGCTGCCATTCTCCGCCGTCTTGCACAGGCCGTTGGGCCGCAGCGCGCGCTGCTGCATGAGATCACGCGGTGTGCCCGCGGTGATGGAAGACGTGCGCTTTGGTACCTCAGGCGGCGTCCTCTTCGCCGCCGCCGCTGCCGCTGCTGCCGCAGCCGCAGCCGCCGCGGCACTGGCGTTGATGCACGTGCGCGGCCGCGAGTAGATCTGCGCCGCGGTGTAGTATGGCGTGTGGGGGCTTTGGTGAGAGTTCCAGGACGCATTCATGGAGTGCGCCGACGCGTCCAGATGGCCGCTGGAGTTGAAGCTCACGTCCTCCTGGCGCAGCGACGGCTGGTGATACTGCGCAGCCGGCGTGCTGTAGTAGTGCTGCTCGGCGTGCAGCACATTCACGTGCGGATGCGCGTGTTGCTGATGGCCTTGCGCCCAGCACGCCGCCGGCATGGGTGACGTGGCGCCGGACTGACTGCGCGGAATGGGGCTCGCATCAAGACTCCGCCGCTCGCGCATCGACATGGATCGCACCGGCGCCACGCGACACTGCTGCGCCTGCTGGCTCGTCGGCGACGCCGTAATTCTGTGGCGAAGAAGAGATAGAAAAAAAAGTTAAGAATAATTTCTTTTAGGACACAAAAAATCATATCTCTTATCTATTTATCTCACATTATTTTGCAATACTGAAGTTGTCTAAATTTTACATCTCTTACAATGGTGGATAATTGGACCTCTTATGCTGATGGAAGTAATTTTCTAGTGAATTTTTTTTCCATTGTTCTGATTTCTTATAGATTGCTTGATATACAAGAACAGTAAATCAATAAATTAAGTAATAAAATAGAATATAAATAGAATGATTGGGTTCTGTCTTATCAATTCTTATGAAACTGATTATTTATCATCCTCTCACATATATTGTTATGAAGATAATTCTTTACACAAAATATTCAGTTTTTAAACTGTTTTTAGAGGTTTAAAACAGGAACTGATGAATTGATACACTTGCAGTCTAACATTATTATTGAGATTATTATGTTAAAGTGGTGAAAATTCCAATGAATTCACTTAAATTCCCAACAAAATCTCTCTTTAGCAATCAATTTTCTGTGAATTTGAAGAGTTGCACCAAAAAGGCAGAAAAAAGTTCTTCACCAGTGCAAATGAATGACGGAATTAGTGCGCACCGTCGCGCAAATGGGATTAGATGTGTGATACTCACGTGGCACAGACACGTTGCGGCTGCTGTTGCTGCACGTTCACCGTCACGCCGCCAGAGATGGCGGGCGCGTCAGAGTCCACATATGTGGACGTGATCAGCTGTCCATTCTCGTCCGTGAACGCCGATGGACTCTGGCCGGGCACACGCCGGCTCAGGCGCTTCTCCGCCTTGGCCATGGCCGTGATGGACGCGAACTTCTTCACCATCGTGTAGTGGCGAAAGGCCCTCTGAATGGTTATGGCGGCATTTCGCGCCCGAACACCGCCATACTTGCGCTCCAGCAATTCAATCTGCTTCTCCAGCAAGTCCTGCGACAGTTCGTACCTGCAAAACAGAGGAGGGAATTCAATGTAGATTTCTTAGACAGGTGTGTGATCAAGGGGCAGATATTATGGTTGGAAGTGGTGTACAACTTGTGTGGAAGTGTTTAAGAATTGGAAGTGGTAAAAGATATCGAATATTTGCACTGCTAAAGCTTCTGTTTCAACAAATTGAGGCATTTTCTACACAATTCTGTTGAAGAAAATCAATTTTATTGCTTTTTCTAGGTTATGTGATTGATTTAAGACAGATTCAGGTGATTAAAATATCCCTAAAATCATGAAAATTGTGTTTAATCTAGGAATATTTCTCTTTTTCTTGGCAAAGTTGAGCTTTTCTGTTTAAAAAACCATTATATTGGGTTAGAAAACAGCTCAAAAGTCAATCACAACCTCAGAAATTGTATTTTAGTCCAAAAAATTGTCTTTTTTCTTAGTTATTTCCGCGATTTGCGATTGAAAGTGGCAAATTTAGCGTCATTATCTTGTGTTCTTCGCCATATTCACAAATTTTCTGGGTGTAAAAAGGTTCAAATTAGGCAAAGAAAGATTTTCAAGCCGCTTTCATAACCTCTCAATTTCATAATTTTTTTTTCTACAGTTTCTAAAACATAAAACTAGAAAATCAAGACACAAATATGCCATGAACGAATCAAAGAACACTAAAATCAATTTTTACAATCCAAAATCTAAGCATTTGAAGAGCTTAAACATCTTGAGACGGAAAAACCTGGATTAGATTTGTGATAAGTCATAAATTCATGTAGAAAACAGTTGAAGAAGTGTAATAAATGCCTTCAAATACGTTAAGAAGTGTTGAAAATTCTGCAGAGGAATTGTGGAAGTGTCTGGAAGTGGTGTACAGATTTAAGCTATATTATCTCTCCTTTGGGTGTGATTTTCAACTGCTTCTAATGTTATATTTCACAAGTTTTTGTATCTTTAAACAGTATTTTGAGGTTCTTTTACGTTTGTAATTAATTAATTAAAATTAAATACACAAAAGTGTTGCCATAGTAAACATTTAAAAGTCACCATATACATATTTTATAAATATATTCGGTTCTTCGTGTTGCATGTGAACCAAAAACAGGTAAGTTTTTCACGTGAATTTCAATAGAAATTGCACAAAGTGACGAAAATAGCATCTGATTTGTTGACATGGAATTTTTTTCTCCCTCCCCCAAAATGATAAAATATTAATCCCACTTTAGACCTTTAAGTCTGTGTACAATGAAAGTGAAATTCAGCAGTGAAAATTTTTCATTAATCGATTATTATTTTCGTCGCACTTTCAACGCCACAAATTACACTCCCTCGAATTACTTTTATATACGGCCTTCATGTCGAGTGCAATATTTTGGATTAATATTGACTCTGAAAATCACGACAACGTCTTTAATGCACACACTTTAGTCGGGGAGGAGAAAGTCTCTTTTGCCGATCATCACGAGACATTCCACAACACTCAACACTTGAAAGAGATGGGGAAAAACCTTCCCTAAAATTAGAACGCGCTCACACCAAACATACATATCTCTCTCAATTTGCTTTGGATTTCCACACACGCACTATCACGAAATGCGCCCGAAAGGTATATATTTTGTCAAATGTTTCATCACACACGCGCGCACATTTCAACATTGGAGGGGAGAAAATGGCTCTTTTATTTTTTTCACCTACCAAACAATCTTAATTTGCACTTTTCTTCCACTCCTTCGCAATGGATGATGTTTATTTGTCTCTTGGTCTTCTGCAACTGCACTCTTTGCGTCGCCATTACACCTTGTCGCCGGAATTGGCGCCGACGTCGACATTTCTGGGGGCATTGTGTCACCACTCTTCGGCCTCTCTCTCTCTCACTCACTCTGCATCACACAACCAAAACACCATTCACCGACGCATTGCCACTCTCAGTGTGTTTGGGTGGACAATCACACCCAAAAAAGAACGCACAATGCCATCCGCAAGACAATTGATCATTTCACAATTCCTGCGGGAAATTGTCTGGAAAAGAAAGACACTTTCAACGTTCACAAATGATCACCTATAACTTTCTGTGTCATAGCGAAAATTGCCGCCCAATGTCAATCCAGAAGAGGTGCGCGCACCAAGAGATTGTGAAAATTAGCACTAACTGATAAGCGCCTCTTCCTATCGACCGTAATGCGATAAGACAACGTAGGAGAGTGGGGGAAAAACAATAGGAATTTCGATGATTACATTTTCATCCTGATTATCAATGAGAAAAAAAAATAGACAGCCAAGCATTCCGCCAATAAGAAATTTAAAAAAAAAACCACCTAGAACCCTTAGAAAAATTCAAATTTGAATGAAACGAGCGAAAGTTTTTCACTCTCAACTGTGCCAAAGGGTGAAAGTATGGCGAAAGTGTGAGTTTTTCCCAGAAAAAAAAACAAACCTCCGCTCTGGATGGAAAATATAATGTCATTCATGTAAAAAAATCTCACGGAAATTTTTTTTTATACGATGCGTAAAACAAGCCTGTGCAATTGAACAAAATCCCACACACACACACACAATATCAGATTAATTGATGATGTGTGCGATCTCCGGAGTCAAAACAAGTGTTTTAGCAGAATTCATATTAAAGACAATATGATGTATGTGTGACACAGTGTGTTGGCAAATCTCTTCCCCAATCATGAATTATTCTAATTGCCACCACGAAACATGACAGAGATTTAAAGGAAATGGCATGAGTATAAGTAAATGTTGGAAATGCTCTGCAGAATGTTATTTGCATATTTGTTTGTCTGTATTACAATTTCAAAGCAACATGCATTTAAATTTAGTTGTTTTCTTTATACAAAAACAAGTGTCATACGACATTCGGGTAGATTCGTGTAAGACAATCCATTTTTATTTGAAAACTAATAGGAATTAAACGTGTCGAAACACGTTTTTTGACAGATTCCAAAAGTATCTTTCAAATAATAGGCTGTTCAATTGAAAATACAATTGATTGCATGGTTATTTTGTGGTGTATGACAAAATAATGCGACTTTCATGTGAGATTCTAATGGACTATCATAAGACATTCGGATTTTTATCATTTTCTAGACATTTTACCGCATTTTACTTATTCAATTCACCCTTTAAAGTCACAAAATGACTAATAACATGAAATTCTAGCCATAAAGTAATTTTTTTTTTAACGATAGTCATATGAATGTCGTGTATTTGTAGTGTTACCAGTATGTGTTTGCTGTGAGGCACATATAGACTCAATTAAGACACTTTATGAGCAGAATTTAATGATCAGAATCGATGGGGACAAAGACGTGAAAGATGAGGGGCGTCTTTCACACAAAAATAGCATCTATCAACAGTGGGAAGAGCACAGTGATTTCTCCCTCCGGAAAATGTCTCAATGCATTAAATCGCGAGGAAATCCACAAAGTCGGGCATTCTTACAAAACTTCCTTCCATTCTTTTTGAAGAAAAAAAGAAAAATACTCATCAGTTCTCCTGGTAAAAAACATAAACAATGACTGAGTCAATTGTCTCTCCCTCTCGCTTTGGTTCTTGACATCTTCATTGAGGAGGAGGAGGGAAAAGGAGAGAGAAAAGTATAATGTAAGAAGTACAGAAGAAGACGAAGAAATAGATTGTGGGAGAGTAGAAAGAGTGTCTTTGTTGCCATCACTGTGACTCATAAAAATTTTCACTCTGATAGATTTGCAAGAAGCGTGTGGGAAAATGGCAATAAAGAGGTCTCGCAAAAGACACACAGTCGAAATTCAACAATAGAGCACTGCAAAAAAAATGAACACTTTCCATCATCTCAACATTTTGCAAATCAACTCCACATTTTGCCCACAAAGACTGTGTCCTTTTTTGCCCTTCCTGCACTAACAAACACTTCCGTCCGAGGCGCATTCTTGTGTCACTGGACGAACAAAGGACGGCAAACGACAAGAAAGGATAATTCTTCATTACTTCCTCTCCACTAATTTCCTCTCTCTCTCTCTTTGCACTTCTTCACACTTCCTTTTGCCGTGCATACAATTTTACAACAAGAGAACCAAGGAAAATGAAGAGCAACCGAAATCCGTGATGTCGCTCTTTAAACTGCAACCCACGAAGAGAAACACATCCGATGGGAAATGTGTGTGTGTTGTCCCAAAATGTGACGACGGACGATCCGTTGCGACGTCGTCGTAAAACTTGAAGGGGAAAAGTGCGTCGTGTGTCTTGGAGATGAAAAATGACTTTTACTCCCGCGCGCGCATTTTTCTCTCCTTCAAGACAGAATTTCGTCCCACAAGAATCCATTCTCGGGCGCTCATAAATCACACACACACACACACAGACACTCACTTGATGCGGAGGACGTGCTGGAAGAATATCACCAGAGGCACCAGGATACTCTTCAATCCACCGCGGATCATGGTGAAGAAGTTGCCATCCGCTGTAGCACAAACGAGAGCCACGTCTGACATTGTGGCCTCAGGTGTGTGGCCAATAAAACAATTACACACATCAAAGAATATCACACAAGCTTCTCAGGAACCCAGAGAAAAGGGACTGCAAACTCCCCCTGAACATCTGCGCGCTATCAGGTGATGAGAGAGCTGATAAGATGGCTCGTGGGGAAATTACTCTTGTATGGTATATATTTATGTTGAGAGAGACGAGCAATTCGGATTTTGTTGACACTGCGTGAGACACACACAATCTGTTCATCGTTCATCGTTCAGCAAGATAAGGTAGAAAATGCCACAATCAACAGAAAACGTATTTTCCCAAAAAAAAGGGGTTTATCAATCTAGCGGGAAGATTTGATGTTTAAAGAAAACTCACTCAGAAATTTATATACATTCTTTGGCTACAATTGATTGCATAAAATTTTCGAAATTCATCATTTGAAGAGACACAATTTTATGATCGATTAATTTTAACTATATATACTATTTAGTGGAATATTTCAATGGGCAGAAAATCAAGAAAATATCATTCAAAGGCTTTCAGTTCTTTTAGTCATTTCTTCCTTCCTCTGGCCATATCCACCAGACACGCCATAGAAGTCACTGTTGCCCCAGAAACATCCAGCGCGGAAGTAAAATAGCAGCTTTAAGTGACGCGCGACAAGCAACTGTACAGGAATCACTCTTTTGAGTGCCTGGGAAAGTGTGCTCGAAGTTTCTGACAATAAAACCACCCAAACATTGCATAACTCACACAAGAAATAATATAATTTATTCCTCTGTCCATTAACGGAAATATTGCAGGTTGTCACTCTCTCACCGTTTGTGATTTTTTGACTGCGCGCGCGCGCGCGCGCGGCAAAGGCGAAATAATAACACTTGAAGAAGAGGTGACGAAAGACAAGAGATGTTTTTGCTCCGCGGGGAAGTGTGATTGTCTTGCGTAAGATTTTCCACGAAGTGCATTGCAAAATGTGCCAAATTTTTCTCCTTCTTCTTCTTCGTCTTTTTGATCGTACAAAGAAGACAAAAAAGAAGATCATTTTTTTTTTTGGTTGAGAAGTGTGAAGGAAAAACAAAACATTCCTCAGCGTCTATTTCACAATGTCGAACTATATTTTTGCAAAATCATATAATGTCCATGAACGATTTTTACTCTTGGCATTTTTTTTCTTGTCGGTGGAACAATTTGTATATGTATGTATTTTTTTGTGGTAATGTTTTCACGTGTTTTCATTTTTGGCATATGAGGAAATAAATAAATTTCACCTGTATTGTTTTCACTGCACGTGGAATTGAAATTTTTGGGAGTTGTGAAATTTCAACTTCCGCAAAAAGTGGTGGGAAAGAGAAAAAGAGTGAAAGAGAAAAACTCACGCATTCTGTGTCCTTGTCCGCTTGAGCACGTCGCCGCCGTTGCGCACGGAGCCCTTCTTGTGCAGGCCCGCCTGGACGTTCTGGTGGCCCGAGTGGATCACCTGCTGGGCTGGGCAGATCTGGTGTTGGTACACCACTTGCTGTGGCGGCGCATAGTGCTGCTGCTGCAGATAAACGTAGCCGCCGGTGTTGCCCTGCACGGCGTACGCCGGCGACTGTCGGTCCGCCACCTTCTGTGGGAAACTGCAAAGGAGCAAAAGAAGGACAGCAATTAGTCAAGGACAGAAACAAAAATGTCTTCTTGAAACATCAAAGGGGGATTTTATAATCGAACATTTTAGACATATTTTTCAATGCCCTCACAGTCCAACAGTGGTTCTTGTCTTTAATTAATTTTTGAGGAATTAATAATTTTTGTGTTGTTTTGAAATTCTTCGCAAAGAAAGACCAAAATCTCCCAAAGTCTTCATGCGATCACCAAAAGTGGCACAGATTTAGAAAGGTGATTTCATTGGCTACAACTCCTTGGAACATGCCAAGATTGCCAAAAATTTTGCAGAGGGTCAAAATGACCACAACACCCAGAGAGGCACAAAAAAGTGTCTTTTTTCGGGTGTTTAAAAAATCATATAAAATACCCTGCGAGTGGCAAAAATTCGCAATATATACTTGAAGTTGTAGAGAATTTCACGGTGAATATTTCCGCCATATACCACTTTTCTCTCCAAAATTCTCGAGTCGAGATATTGGCATTTTCCCCCCCTTTTCAATCCGCCTCATCTCATAACAGTAAAGGAAAAATTACAGCCGCGTGCATTCTGCGATTTTTACGCGAATTCTGCCCAGTCTGGCAAAACAAAAGAACAAAAGTCGGCGCGGCGAAAAAATGTACTTTGAAATGCTGCTATTTCAAATTTGATAAAGAAATCTTAGTGTTTAAGAATTTCCTGCATGTTACTTTTTAAGCCTAATAATATTGCTTTGATTGATTGATTTTTAGTCCTTTTTTTTGTATATAACTTAAAGGTTTTTTTGAGAAATATAAATTAATATTTTTCAATGATTTGAAGCAATAAAAAATTCACAAAAGTGTAATGAAAACTTCGACAGAAATCCCCAGCGTCTTACACGCGAAGCAAAGTGGATTCTTATCATCCCTTTTAACCCCTCAATTCCCTCCTCAAAATTGGGAAGCTGCGCCTAATTAAATTCCCGGGTGTTTTTCACTGTATTCCTCATCAATTTCTCACACTCCACAAACTCTTTAATTATGGAGTTGCGCTCTCTTCATCTCGCTTTTCTTCAGCTAAATCGACAGCTTTTTGATAAATCTCAGCGCGTCTAATTCACCTTCACAATTTTTTTTCGTTGCTTTTTGCTTTTTCAATGTTATTCAACACATGGAGAAAAATCGTTTTAAAAACTTTAATTGCTTGAGCGACGCGAACAGGTTATTATAGAGATTTTTTTTTCACACTCTCTGGATGCGTTTGGATGTGAAATCCCGCGTTCTTGCGCGATAATCTCCCCTCAAATGGAGTGGCAAAGATTTTCCCTTCAAATCACTCAAGTATCTGGTGCACGATAATAAGTCGCTTTGGACAGCCAAAGAGTCGCGCTTTCACAACACACGGAAATATTTCCATATATACATATATAGAGGTGAAATGGACAATTTTCCACTGACACACCATTCTTTGCATTGCGCCAGGAGTGGATTTTTTTTTAATGATGGTAAATTAATTAGATTCTCGATGGCACACATGTCTTTTGTATGCCCTTCAAAGAGAATGAGTGAGAGAGACAGTCAAAGAGAGGACAGAAACATTGTCATCATTGTAATTTACTCGACAGCACTTCTCGCATGGCTGATCAAATGGAAATGCGCGCGCGAGTGTGTATTATTGCGGGGAAACGAAACATGGAGAAAATATATAAACTTGTGAAGAAGAAAAAAAAACTCAATTGCAAGTCACATAAAAGACCAACAGAAATTCACAAAATATATATACCTTCCCCCAATTATGAATCCAGAAATGCAAATGATCATTGTGAAGAAATTGTCGAAGAGAAAAGAAAACTCAAAGCAAAAGAAGCCAAAACACAAACTAAAAGTCTCTTCTATTAATTTTACTTGAAGCAAATGGGAAATAGCAACATATTTCCCCGGAGAGTTATTCACCACAAACACAACAAAATTCACAGAGAATATATAAGGGAGAAAAACACCCCCAAAAAGTCTCTATCACAGTCGCGCAGAAGAATCACAACGGGTAAGACCACGCGTGGAACATCAACGAGTCTCGAACGGTGACTGAAGCATGGAGTTCTCCTGAAGAGAACACTTCTTCACCGAATCCTCTGTGGATTTTCTCTTTCTCTCATCGTTTTCTTCCACTAACAGCTGCCGTTTTTTTTTCAGGCCCTCCTGCATTTCGTGTTTTCTTCAGTTCTCACTTTCCACCAACACACACACACACACCCCGATGGCCACCGATGATAAAAGGTGAGTGCGCGCACACGAAATAATTCGAGAGTTCACGCGAAGAGGTGATGACAGAGTGATAACAGAGTTTTCCCAGCTTTTCACCCCAACTTCTGGGGGAAAAGTTAAGAGGTGTTATTCCACCAATCATGTAATAAAAGATAGGGAAAATTCCTTGAAAATTTCATGAAAAATATGTATTATATTTCAATGTGACATGGCACACTCTTTGAAAACCTATGAAATTCAAACTTTTCACTAAAATTTTCAGAAACATAAACAATACCCAAAAGCCTAATCTTAACACGGAAGACGCGAGATTACTCGTGAGTAATTCCATCCATACATTTACGACTCTTGTGAATTGGGAGTTGAAAGTGGAGACAATCTTGTGTCTCATCCAGGGCAAAAAGTGAAATAATTTCATGATATCAGCAGTGGAAAGTGCGGCAAATTGTAGAAATATGTTGCAATTTCATCTTCTTCGTCTTGTCATCGCAAGGTATGGGCGCGGACAAGAAAATTGTCGAGGGGATTTGCAATAAAAAGCCATAATATATCTTGGAATTTCTTACTCCAAATTGAATCGCAGTCCCTCAACAATCTTCAGGGTCTCTCTCTCTTTCTTTTCTCTTGTGCTCGATTGACGTTTTATTTTGCGCCTGCCACGCAGGGACAGCAGCTGTTGAACGGACAAAAGCCTCCCAATCTCTTTGTTGCCGAAGATTTTTTTTCACCACGCTCTTCCTCCTTTTTTTTCCTCCCTCGGCAAGATGCGTACACACATGCGTTGCCATTCAACAGGCACAAATTTATTCGAGTTTAATCTCGGATCTCGGATGCACAGGATTGAGCTTAAGTGAAGGTTCTTCAGGTCGTCACTCACATGAAGAGGACGAGAGATAATTGCGAGAGGGGAGAAAAGGAAAAGACCGAGAAAAAAAAACAACCCAGACAACATTTGAGCTTCTGATTGGGCGCAAAAACTATTAAAGACTACTGTGAAAAAAAGTGTTTGTCAGGTGGTTAATGAGAATTACCACGATGTGACTCATTATTTGATTTTCTGCTTATATATATAGAGGAAAAGTACACATAGAAGAGAAAGAGAGATAATTTACACATGAAAATTGTCGTCATTCGACACCAAATCTCCTATGGCAAAGACACCACATTATCTGCTCAAGTCTGTTGTGTGTCAATGAGGAATCTCTTCATGAGAAAATTCAGCTGTTTAATATTGATTTAATTACCATGAGACAATTGTCAAAAGTATAATCTCTTTAATAGCCATACTCATGAAACCCTCTTCAGAACATTAACGTATTTTTTCCGTGCGGTCCTTGAGGTAAACAAGACTTCACGTGTGACCTTCACTGTTTGTCCTTTTTATGGAGGTTCAAAGCGCGTGTTTTTTGGCCTCTACACAAACTCACTCCACATCGCGCAGTTCAAATGGGCCGGAATAGAGCAGAAAATTTGATTTTTTTTACTCCTCATCAGCCAAAAAAACACTCATTTTCTTCTTTAGTGAACAAAATTCTCAAGAGACTCATAATTAATTGGTTCCAATACACCTTGGGTGGTCTCCAATCGAGAGAGAAACTTCTTTCTATATATTATGAACTCACAGAAACAAGTCATGTTTTGCTTTTGTCGAAATTCTTAGGCCATTTTTCGGACTGTGTGCGCCTCCGAAGGAATTATTCACACTCTCGGGGGCATGAGAAGAGTGAAAATCTGAGAAAAATTTGTCCTCATTCGCCACATTTGGTTGTCATTTTTGGAAGTTGAGAGAGCGAGAGAGGGAAAAACATTGGGTAAAAATCCCTTCGAGACTAATTTATAACTCTAACAAGTCATTTGGGAGAATCACAAAAACAACTTTTCTCCTACTACAAAACACACATTTTTCTTTCTTTCTCTGTGCCATCCGGCAATCGTCCAAGGGGGAAATAATACAGTTATAAATGGTGTACAACACAGTAGTAGTCTTGGAAAGTGGAAGAGTTTTAATAAAGTTGTACAATATTCGATCTTCGAGAGCTTCTTTTCCTAACAAATGCCAACAAGCCAACTATCAGACAAAAAAAAGGTTTTCAGTGAATTCTTTAAGATATTTTAGATGTAATCTAAGAATAATTGTGCAAACAGTCTAAAAAAATTTAAGTTTAAGACACATCATCTCCCCCTTGCAACCATCAAACAACGATAAAGAAGTATATTTGGTATCGTGAGGCCCATTTAGAAAAATCACCCGTGGTTATTATTGATCAAATAAGGCGAAAAAAATCACATCACGAAGTGGATCAATCCATAAAGTTAAAAAGCCACCGAGAGTTGGTGATTTGCGAAAATTTACACACTCACAAACACACATTAAATATGAATAAATGCCATAGAGAGACGGCAATCTTGTATGAAAGTAAAAGGAGTTACCTAACCGCGAGAACAGCAACAACAACAACGGCGAAAAAATAGAGTAAGACCCGTTGAAAAAATCACCTCGAGATTTGCCCGCGAGCATTTATTATAAACATGTGCAGCAACAAATTGAGGTGGAATAAAAAATCACAATAATTGACCACAGGTGATTTCCATTCGAGGAAATCGATGAAAAGTAGTCACCCGAAGAACGTGGACCAAGAGGGCGCGACTCATGAGATGCCGAGATATTTGTGCCATCGAGTGGCAGATGTTTTTGTTCCTCCCGAAAGAAAAAAAGCCGTCCTCCAACACACAACGCTTGAGGATCACTTCGACCAGATTGCAGACACACGCCAGGTGCACTTTATAAACATCTCCACCACCTCGGCCACTCTTTTTCACCAGTTGCACCCATGAAATGGGAGAAGATTTCATATTTTTCTTCATATTCTGGACATCATTCTGATCGCGTTTTGTTGAATTTTAGGGCACGCGAAGATAAATTTACAGCCATTGATTTACTCTTGTAGAAGCATCGCAAGATAAGCTTAGGAATGTGAGCAGCGCCATTAAAGATACAATTTCTCTATATATTCCATAAATTTCGGGACTTCTTTTATCACTTTGTTTGAATTTAATACACTTGAGAATTGATCTGAATGACTTGATTTGATTTAAAACGGCCACAGATGAAGAGGAAAATAATTAATTGACATCTAATGTGGTTAATAATTTTGGTTAAACGATTGGTTAACCATTTGACTTTCACCCAATGGTTGTCAATAAAATTAGAGAAACTTTCATTACAGAATATCTATGAAAAACAGCAAATTTTTCATCGACACAATGTGCAAATTTCAGACCTCTTGACAAACAAAAAGAAAAACACTTTGAAGCATTTGCAGAATAATCGTGATATTATTCCCTCGTCATTTTCCATCTGTCTCCATCTGTGTAAATGTGCAGCAAATGAGCGGAAGAATTGTTCTGACAGTGCGGCATGCATTTCCTGGAATGCAATGCTATTCAAAATTGTTGGCACAAATTTTTTTTCGCGTTAACCCTGAAGAGGAGTTTGTACGAGTCTTTTGCGTGGCCATACACAGACAGAGAGTGTCATTGAACCAATTAACGACTTGGCCATGCGAAGGTTTAGCCATCAATAAGGCTGAGGGATTATCTTGGCCGAAAGTGGGCAGAAAAAACGGGCAGGTGGCACACTTCACAATTTCCATAATGATGGCCGCGTGCAGTGTTTGTTCCAGCACCATTCCAGCTGGCATGATGTGATCCTCAACTGACCACCTTTGCCAAGCAACTCTGCACTACGCATTGACTGTGTTGTTGTTAGAATCAAAGGAGGAGATAATATGACTTAAGCTCCAGTGTTCAGACAACATTTTATGATTTTCTGCTGCTAAACGCTCTTTTGCGTAATCTTTTCTTATCATAATCTTTGAATGACAGCGAGTGTTCTTAAGAGATTTCAGTAAAAACTAAAAACCTGAGGTTTTTCTTCATTTAATTGCACTTTTTGGGCTTTTTTTTTACGTGTAATCAACGTATGTAATGCATATTAAGATGAGATTTGACGGTGTTCGTCCGTCCATCCGTCCGTTCGTAGTATTTCGAGTCGTACCGCTTAAACGGTAAGAGATATCAACATGCGGTTTTCACCAAAGGTCAAAACTTTTCGAGCCGCTAGAGTGTGCTGGTGTCAAATCCACCCCCACCCCTCCGTCAGCCATTTTGGACACCCCCAAAACACTCTTTCTTCATTAACTCATCTCCTATGGTATGGATCGGACCCAAATTCTAGAATGTTACACCTGGCCTCGAGACCTATCCAACGAAATGACATGTAAGGACCTATGTCCTTTGAAACCTTAGATATTAGGGATCAAAATTTGAAAATTATTATTACTTTAACTCCGCTTCTAATTAACCGATTGGAATGATTATGAGTTCATTGGAAAGGTATTGTAAAATGCCATCTCTTTATACAACATCATAACTTGATACAACCGCCGCTAGGGGCGCTAAAGTCAAAAAATCATTTATAAAAATTTAAAATTGAATAACTCGAGAACGAGACGATGCATTTTCTTTAAATTTTAGTATGTTATTGCTGAGGTTATGACCTTTCCAATGAACTATTACTTGTGAGAATTAAAATGATAGGTGCGTAGATATGGAGGGTCAAAGTTCACATCTTTATCGGCCTATATCTCCGCTATTTACCAACCAATTTCGATCATCCCTTCACCAAAAGACATGTCTTGGCGTCCTTTAGTAGGCCTTATCTACTATTAATTCACTCAAGCTTTAACCGAGGCGAAGCAAGTAAACTGAATATTGGAAATATTTCACTCCTTAAGACTTCCTTTGAGCTGTATGCATCATTCAGCTGTATCACTTCTGATCGTATTATCTCCCCCTTGGTTAGAACTAAAAGCATGTTATTAGCTCATGTGCCGAGAGTGTGATTGCATGTTGCTCTGGTGGGCAAGAAATGGGGAACAAGTGGAGTCAATTGAGCAAGTGAGAGAGAGTGAATTCGGGTCACGATGGCGTTTGTGTCTCTGGGGACTCATTTGATCGTAAAATTTCATTACAATTGAAATTTATTAAGTGAATTTACAGTTTTGTTCGCCATTTGTTAAATTTTTCATTCAACCTTATACTTCATTTTGTGCCACTTTGTTACATGTTGAGGAGTGAAAAGGTATATAATTTCTCAGTGCATGGGCACACACACACAAAAAAAAAGAAAGAAATATATTCCTATGAGACACAAGTACAGAAATCTAAACAATTTCCCTAAGCGTCCAGTGTTGAATGAGTTGAAAATATGTTGTAAATCAGATTGAGCCGGAAATTCATCTCAAAAGAAATCAACGTTGAATTTATCTGTTGCAGTGAAGTATGGCAAACGGTATCTCTGGTTGGAAAACTAGTTTACTTATAGTAATATACTATGTGTGTTATTAAGGCTTTTTCACTGTGAAATAGCCATTGCGATTTGCAGATAATAAGACAAGAATCGCACGAATCACTTGAGAACAGTCAACCTTATTGTTTCAACATTTTGCATGCCACACAGCCTTCGCCATAGAGTGCAAAAGTTAAGAGAACTCGCTGACCTTTCTCCCAATCGACCACTTTGCCACCACGAAGCACTGGCGCGGAAAGTTCTCCCAGCGCACAAACTCTCATTATCCCTGCTTTAGCCTTGCACACACACACTCACACAGTTAAGTCTCTGAAAGCAATTTTAAAGTTTCAAAAATTGATTTTGCAACTTCAGCACCTCCTAGCGGTGATTCAATCAAATTAACATTCGGGCGGAAGATAGTGTTTTACAAGACCTTTTGAAAAAGTACAAAATCGTTCCGGTTAAATAGAATAGGATTTATGATTGTTTAAAGTGTCAGACTTTGATCCTTTGAAAAATCTAAGAGTTGACTTACAACGAGTGGAAAACATGAATTATGTTTTTGCCATATATATATATATGTATATAAACTTTTAGGCAGTCTTTGAAGTCGATTTTGGGGGCATTTTAATTTTTGAATCGTTCAGATTTCAGGAAAAAAACAGGTGATAATATTTCACTTGGCGCATTTCGCATTGAAAAGAAACAAAAAAAACACATACTGAAGAAACCCGAGACAATGAAGTATCATAACAATGATGTACGTGACTGTAAATGAAAATAGCGAAACAATAAGAAGGCGAAAACAGTCATTAAGAATTGACAAACTGCATTGGCCTCATGGCCATGAATCGAAAGGTAAAACACACTTGAAAAGCCACAATATCAGTCCCGATTTTTTTTCCTACTTCTTCTCTCTCTCTCTGTCTTTTACCATCATGATCCCAAAACCGAGAGCGTGTCTCTTGAAAAAAGCTCGTTAATAAGCAAGAAACGATTGACCTATTCTGATGATTTCATCAATTTCGCGCCTTGGCCATCGCTAAAAGCGCGACGATGAGGCGAAAAAAACATGCACAACCGCTTGTGACGACGATGGTGAAGTCTTGGTGAGATTCTCTCAAGGTGCTAATTAAATTATAGCATCTTCCAATCTCTTTTTGAGCTGGTTGAAATTTCCTCATCCTTCCCGCAGCAGTAATGTTCGTGATTGCCTAATAAAGCACAGCCGGGTTAAGAGCCATTTCACCACCACTACTTGAGATGCCTCAATTAATGCCCATGATTAATGCTTGGATTTTGCAACAACACCACCATCAGATCAATATCGAGTGCGTGTTTTGTGCAAAGCAACAACATCATCTTACGAGGTGCAATGATGCAAAAAGTACAAGATAACCCGTATCAAGGCTTTCAATCATGACGTGCACATTTTCGCTGTGAAAATCCAATTTCCTCCCTCACCAACAATCACCAGCAATTGTCCAGTGGCGCTGATTAACCCTCGACAGGTGTAGAGATATAGTGGAAATTATCTCTACACTGTGCTGAATCTTTGATTATTTAATCAAAATTAATTTTTTTTTTCAATTTTAGTTGAGAAAATAAATTTTGTTTTTTTAATTATTTAAATCACAATTTGATTATTTTTCAATTTTACTTGAGAAAATAATCTTTTTTCTTTATTATTTTAGTCAAATAATTGATTATTTGATTTGAAAACATTAAGTTTTATCGTGATTTGCCCCTTGAGTTGCGGTTACACGAGGGAAAAGTGTCAGAATTGTGAATAAATTAATCAACTTTTAATTGTGCTCTTCGTAGCCAATGAAGATCAATTGATGTTGATGCTCTTAGAGGTAAATTTTTTTACCACATTGACGACGAAAATGTTGCAAGGGTTGAGTGCAGAATTTACCTGACTGTCGTGACATGGTGACTGGTGTGAGTTCGGCTGCTTTGTGAGCTGTTTGAGGTGTAACTCACAACAGTGACGTGCCGTGTTGTGGTCCTCACCACACGTCTCACGCGACTCCTTCCATCGCCCACAAACACCATCGTGGGCCCCACGACGGCCCGATTTCCGTCACCGAACGGAAAGTCCGGCTCAGGCATTGTACAAAATTGATATGCACAGGGTGTCCAAAACTCTTCTATTGTCTCACACCGAAATCACTCCTCTGTCACACTTCTGCATGACTCAGAGCTTCACTTTGTCTCTCACTTTGCCTCTCGCGGCCACCCATTAACTATTAAAAAAAAACACCAAAGCAAATGAATACTTTTTCCCTTAAATTTCAATTTTTTTCTCTCTTTTTTTAATTTTTGAGAGTTGCAATGAGAAAAAGAGCGCGCACACAATTTTTTTTTTCGGTATTCACACATCCAATGAAAATATGCTGAGCAATTGCTTAAGCATTTGCGGCATTCGCATGAAAGGCGGTCTTATTTTGTTTTCACCATTGAATCTATTCTTTGTAAGAGTGAAAAAAATCACGTGTAATTTGATTTTTTTGCGCCATCGTCAGGTGTGTATGTTTAATTACACACAGTCTGTGTTGTGTCCTTACTTGGTAGAAAATGTATTTTACGTTCTACTTTTGTAGAGAATATGAATTTTGTAAAAAAAAGTCAATCGAAAAGAGATACTTTCCAGAGAGATGTAGGCTATCTTTTATCCTATCTAGACTGTAATTTCTCTTAAAAGTCAATGGAAAAATGGCGACATTACAGTCATTATTGTTTGAAATTTTCATATTCCTCTCAACTCTGCACAGGCTAAATTGTGTGTAATTTACGAGTAAGAGTAAATTTATCGAAATGGATTAAAATCAGTTGAATGAATTTGTGTAGCAAAATGTTTTCACGTATTTTTCGTAGCGTTTGTGCCATTTTTTTTGACAGCAAAACGATTACTTTAACATGATTCTTAGACGGTTTGAATTCTCTTGAATTCATCAATATCAATTGATGTATTATCTTCAGTTTCAAATCAATAACACATAATAATTTACATCGTATTAAAATTATACTACAATTATGTGTAATTTAACAACACTTTAGCTGACGATCACAATTCCATCACAGCAGTGCTTCCACACTTGGTAAACAATGTATCGACACAAGGTTTTAATTGGAGGTGTTCACAAATTCACATGATCGCTCAATTGCATGCGATCACGAGAGCTTCAAGATCGATGGTGATCGATTGGAGGCCCTGAAATCCGCCCGGATCATCAAAAAGATCTCTCTCCAGCACACGATCTTCCACCCAAGATCACACGAGATTCTCTTCTCCTTCCCACAAAAAGAAAAAAAACCTGCGCAGACAAAAAGCCACATGGGAAGCAATTTCCATTGAAACTCAACTTCAGCCACACATCCTCTCTCTCTGTCTCTGTCTCTCTCTCACCCACTCGAAAATGTGTGAATGAAAGACGCATTTTGCGGGGGCAGGACAAGTGATCAAGAAACGTAATGGATTTGATGGTTTTGTCTCTGTGATTCATTATTATACCTCCACTTCTTCTCATATGCATTTCCCAACATGAGGCGGGGATAATTTCAACAGCATTTGATGCCCATGACTATTAGCCATCACTTAGCCTCTCCCTTTTCGACCATCGTCGTTATCTTCGTCAATTGTTTATTCGGTCAGTATTCTTCAATCTTTTACTGTCTCTATTGCAATTTCCGCCCTCTCCAAATGCGAGTCCCGCTCGAATAGGTGCACGATCGCGAAATTCGCGGGAATTTGCAATGAAAAAGACATTAATCAACACTGATGAAGTTGGTATGGGAAAATCCCAAGACATTTCGCAAAAAAACAAATTCATGGAACGACTGTCATTTTCAATTATTCCGTGGTGTACAATCTGAAGGGATTCTTGATGTTTTTGATGTGGTGAATTTTTTTTTCTCCTTCCTTCCTAAGAACCACCGCTGAATTATGTTTTCCTTGAGAACGAGAATTCTCATCCCACAGCATTAAAGTGGCGTCATCGGCTGTAATATGAATCACTATAACAGTTTGTTGTCATTCTCGCGACCGCCAATGCTGAGTAATTGTCTTAAATCTGGTCTGGGCAAGTTTTGTGCACAGGCCAGAAAGTGCACTTTTTGATACACTACTGGAAATATGAGTTTTTCCACATGTTGATGATGATCATTGAGAGAGAAGCAACTGTTCATGGATGCCATCTGATGCGTAGCTTCGATAGGGGCACCAAAGTGGGTCAGTCCGCAATGTTTGCCCTAAGCGGGCGCGCGCGCGCGAGCCAAGAACAATTGACCCCACAAGGCAGTGGCGTACAGAGTGTATCAACATGCCTTCTATTCACATTTTTGCCGAAGAACTGACACGTAAAATTACACAGTGAGAATATTCTCGAGGGTAAGAAAGTAAAGAAACAAGATTTACTAAGACTGATCATTCGAATACTCTCACACAAATGTTGGAACAATGTCCAATTCAAGCTAAAAATGTGGTTTAAAGGTTTCCTAAATGTTTAACAACACTTCTACTAAAGATAAGCAAGGAGTACAACTAAAAAAATTAAGAAAGGACGAGGCTTAAGATGTAGAATCAGTGATTTCTGTTCCAGACTATCAAATTGTGGTGCAAAAGGCTCAACTGAGGACGCATTTATGCACTTATAAACAACAATAACTTTGCTTTTCATGAAAAATTGGCAGAAAATGTATAAGTTACGCCACTGAGTCCACAGAGCGCAATTGACGCTGCGAGTTTGGGACTTCAAATGAAAGGAAAAATACATTTTCTGCATCTCTCTGGGGCAAGCAAACAAGACATACATCCCAAAAAGAGGCATTTCACGAGAGAGAGAGAGAGAGAGAGATACGATCCATGTGATTAATTTCAATGAATATCCATTCCACTATTAATAGATTGTCTGCCATCCACACATGCCATTCTCATCACGCTGAAACTTATGACGATGGAGAGGCGCGCGAGAGCTGTAAATGGATGGTGTATATGTTTGGAATTATTAGCACAGCTTTTCATGTTTTTCATCATCACTCTGGTGCGTTTCGTCTTCCAAAAACTCTCTTCTCTCTTCTCACTTCTTTTCTTTCACTTACATCATGAGCTTCATGAGTGTGTACAGTTGGATGAAAAATTGTGTGTTATGTTTTGTGAAGTTTGCGCGGGATATTTTTAGGTCGTATAAAAGCAGCGCTTCTGCGTGATTTTATTTTGTATTTTACACACTCAATTTGGTGAAAAAGTGATACACTTTCCCATTAAACATCTCCCAAGACAGTTTGGGTAAAATATATATTCACACAACATAGAAAAACAGAGGGAGAGAGAGAAAAAAATGTGAATTAATTCCACAAGTATACACAACATTTACCATTGGCAGCCACTTAAGAGGAATTAAGATAAAAATTTGTGGCTTCCCTGTGTCTCTCTTTGTGGTTTTGAAAATTAATTATAATTGGTAATGCAGACTGTTTTTATTTTCTATCAAACTACCTCTCTTCTCTCTTGGTCGAGAGACGCCTTTTTATTGAGGAAACCAAGGGGAAAGTCACTCGCGCAAGTTGAAACCATTAACTTTTTTGATTATTCAATCTTTTCTTTCGATTATTTTTCGATTTTAAGTCAAATTTTGATTATTTCATACAAAATTCTGATTATTTTTCTGAATATTTAATTAAAAATTGTTAATTTCATACAAATTCTGATTATTTTTTGTATATTTTCTGAATATTTGATTTAAAATTATTTCAAAAAATCTATTTTTTTTATTATAATCAAAAAATAATTAACATTTGGATTATTTTCTAAATATTTAATCACAAATTTTGAATATAATTGAATAATTGTGAATATTCAGGAACATTCTGATTTACCTATTGATTAAAAAGAATCTTTTTTTATATTTCATTTAGAATCTGATTATTTTTCAACCTTACTTTGGCAAATATTTATTTTTTATTATTATTTTATTCAAAATTTGATTATTTTTCAATTTGACTTTGGAAAATAATAATATTTTTGATTATTTTATTCAAAATTTGTATTTTCTTTTCATTTTCACTTGAGAAAACAATAATTTTTTTGATTATTTTACTCAAAAAATTAATTATTTAATTAGAGAACTTTAAGTTTCCTGTTGACTTGCCCCTTGAACACAAAACCATCACACTCAGTTTCTCTCGTGTCGCTTGGAAGCGTCTTCTCTTCAAGCCAAAACCCAATCAAACAAATTGCCATATTGTTTTTCCCCTCTTTTGTCGCCATAAAAAAATCGTACAATTATTCATGAACGAAGTTCTCTTGTTGTGGAGCAAAAAAAAAACGTCGCCTTGGCCAAAGGTGAGAAGCAATGAGGCAGAAACGCGACTGAGAGAAGAAATGTTTTACGCCAGCAAAGATCAAATTTACACAAATAATTCACACTAATTTGACTCTCAAGTCATCTCAAGCAGTATGATATAATTTGTCTCTCTCATAAATTGTGACAGACCGAAAAAAAAACCGTGCAAAAATACATTTATTTCGGGAGAAAAAAAAAACCACGGCAAAAGAGACTCTTAATCAAGGTCTTCCTATTGTCGCATCTTCGCATGTTCAACACGTGGATTCACAAATAGGTATATAGCCATCGGGTCATTAAAAACAGTACAAAATGTTCGTGCTTGAAAATTCCATTAATTGAAATATGGAAGAAGAAGAAGAAGAAAAAAAATTGCACTCAATCACACTTTATTTTGTGGGAAAAAATTCTCTTTCTCTCTCTCTCGCTTTCTGTAATTTAATCTAATCTATAAAAGCTTGTGTGGTGAAATGAAATTACTCAGAGTGGCAATTTTGAAGAAAGTCTCTCTCTCTTTGATTCCCTTTGAGATGGAAGGTTGCAAACACACACCAGACTTATCATTTTAAATCACTTTCCAATTCCCGCAACTAGCTTATGATTGAAGTCATGCGCGCACACACTCTTCAAAGAAACCACACACTTTGCACGCACCTTCAATTGGTGATTGAGAAGGGTGATGCGCATGCCAGGAATGAAAAATGATAATATTTTTCACTAATTACTTTGGAGTCATTTGTGTGAAATTCACACTGTTGCTTCCACAACAACAATTTCAAGTTTATAATACGCAGTGTGTGTGTGTGAAAAGTC